ATTGATTATATTCGTAACAAGCTTGACACATACGATTTGTATGCTCTAACTTGAGAGGGAGTGTTAGATATTGTTTAGATATTGTTTGATATTATTAAGATATTGTTAACCACAATATCAAACAATATCTTCTGTTTATTTTGTTACTTTTAGTTACTCTTTTAGTTGTATCTCTCTATTGTAAATAGATTACCCTATGTGTGATTTATACACAAGGGAGATTAATCTCAAACTCTATTTCCTCTATATTCAACAGGAACAAAGACACTTATGTATTGAGCTGGATTTGATTGATGAGTTAAGGGCTTCAACTCACGTCCGAGAGGAAGCCATAAAACAAAGAATAGTTCGGTGTCACACCTTTAGGATCAGAAGAAGGGACTTTAAAAAAGGAGACCTAGTATGGAGAAAGGTACGAGAAGCCTGAAAATCACAGGAAGAAGGAAAGTTAGCTCCTAATTGGGATGAACCATTTCGCATCACCGACTCACTACACAACAACGTGTATAAATTACAAGAGTTGAACGAAAGACTTGTTCCGCTGACTTGGAGCACAACACATCTAAAGTCGTATTACAGTTAGTCACAACCTTACTTAGGTGTACGAGTATAGACGCATCACACAATATGAATGTCTCACACATTACTCAGAAAGACGAGTATAGATGTATCACATTTTACTCTTAATACGAGTTTTACATGTACTATACGTTACTCGGGGATACGAGTATAAATAAATCATCCCTTACTCGGGGGATACAAGTATAAATAAATCATGTTTTACTCGGGGTTACGAATATAAATAAATTATGTCTAAAAAACATGAGTATAAAAAGCATTTTGATAATACACGTATCATACTTAAGAAAACGGGTATAAAACTTATGAAACCTACATAGTAAAATGCAACACATATGCTGAAACAAGTACTGAAAATGTTCAAATTTATACATCAGTTCAAGAGATACATAAAAGTAAAATATTAATGTCATTCTTCCTAACTATCATCTACTAACTCTCCATTGTGAACATCCCTTTCAATGTCTAAATGAGCAACATTGAGCTCGAGGACAAATATGAATATAACAACTTGACGAACAACTTTCCTGAAGTCATCTTAATAACTATCTAACATATTGTTCTTTAGTTTGATCAATTGGCTCTTATGCTGAGAAAGCTCCCCTCACTTGGAGATTGTCTTCAGCCTTCAAAGCACGCGAAATGCTTCGTTTTCCTTGACCTTAGCAAAAATGACATCCTCATGAGCCTTTAGTTGAGTAGACACTCTTTGTTGGGACTCAACCAAATCATTCTGCAAAAGTTTTATCTTATTGGCACTGGTCAAAGTTGACGAATTCCTCAACAGTACACCCGGAAGCACCATCATCGGAGCGGTCTCTAGAGACATAGAGAGGGAGTGTTCTTTATCAGAACTACTTGCTAATCATAAAGCACTTCACATTTCTCTCACAAATACAAAACTAGGTTTATTTCTATCAATATTAGACATAATGTAGAAGAAAAAAGAACGTACTTATTAATGCAGAGGATAATTACAAGTGTGAGAGGAATACATGAATAAAAGAAGGGGGAAGTTCAAAAGAGGAATAATGAAAGAAAATACGAAATGAGAAGGTAATGAGAGGTTTTGTAAAAAATAATAGTAAAAATAACGTCTCTTCATATTATAATTATTTTATTAAAGTTGTCCATTAAAAGACCAAATATATAAGCTCGTTCAGTCTTCGTCCTCCGAGCTTGGGGGACTTATATACCTACTCGGTCCAAAATTACTGGACCAATTAACCGTGCTTACTGACCCAAATCCATTAAAGATATTACTTTTATTTTTTTTGTTATTAATTATCTTTATTCTGTTATAATATCTTATATTAGTTATTATTTTATGGACAATTAATTATTATATCTCAACCCATTGCTATATTTGGAATATTATATAAAGGAGAGAGTAAACTTCAACTCATAACACATTTTCATATACATCAATCTTTTGTTTAAAAGTTGACTTGAGCCTTTTGTAGGTGAGAGTCTATGCTTTCTCGATAATCGTCTTCAAAGCTAATTCGAAGATCGAATAATCCATTCATTTTTCTATCTTGCCAATCGATCAGCTTTAACTCAATAAGAACACATATAATTAAGAAAAATAGAAAAAAATGAAATATAAAATTAATATAAATTATATTAAAAGAAGGTATTCAAATATAGAAATACATGTAACACAATTAAGTTTAAATAAAATATATTTAATTATGAATGGTTGAAATTTTATTAGTATTTTTTTATTAATTAATTTGAAATTTTTTGACAGATTAATTATACACTTAATTTTTTTTATTAGCTAACAAACTAATTAATTAATTTAAAAGTATTTGGTACATATATTTGTTAAACTGGAATAAGAAATTAAACTTAATTTTATATTATTGAAGAGAAAAATAAAAGTCTTATAGTTTAAAGTGAAAATAGTTATTATGAATTATATATTTAAAAAACAGTAAAAATATGTGAATGAGAAAAAAATAAATATACTTTAAGAATGAAAAGATTATTTTTTTTATAGAAAATTTAACTATAAAAAAAATGAAGCTTTAAGATCGGTATGACTATTAATATATTATAAAAGTATTATTTTTTATTTTAATATTTTTAAATAATTTATCATATTGGATTTTTAAAATTTTTATTCTCGCTTAAAAATATTTTTTATGAAATAAAATAATATAATCTAAATGATTAATGTATACCAATATATAATATTTGATGATTTGATTGGATTTATGTGATTTAGTAAATTACTGATTAAAAAATTATATATATATATAAATTTTGTGTTTGATGATTTAATTAAATAAATTTATAATTCTTTGAAATTAAATATATATATATATATATATATATATATATATTATTGAATAAAATTTTAAATAGTATAATTTTGTAGTATCATTTTCATTTATAATTTAAATTTTAGTTATAAAAAATATTTTAATAAAATATTTAAATAAAATATTTGTAATAGAAGGTTAAAATAAGAAGTTTTAATGATGTAAATTGTTCTTAATAATTTTGTTTTTAATAAAATATGATATTAAATTCAAAAGTAAGTCATCATATCATAACTAATTATACAGGGTTTTGTAGTATTATAAGCTATTTTCTGTCATATTACATATATTAAATTGTTTATAATTTATTAATAAAGTTATTAGACTTTATCATTAATAAAAAAATATATGATTCTCAATTTTTAATAATACTACTAATAATAATAATAATTGATTTATATGATAAGATTTTTAATACGTCGAATGTGGTAAATATAATATAAATATTTTCAATAAATTTTTTTGTTAATTTAAATAGATAATAAAGTAAACACGACTAAAATTATAAAAATGAACCTTACCCCAGTAATTTTATTTCAATATCAATTAAAATAATTAAATTAAATTAAATAAAAGATGAAATTTTTTATATGCATACAGATATTTTTGTTGACAAGGTCTATATATTCTACAGAAAAGAGGGCGATGGAAACGCACATGCCACATAGTTTGGAGACCTAACAATTTGGATTCTTCACAACGCCACACACTCCCACCCAGGTATGCATTTTCTCGTATATTAGGGTTCCTCGCATCTCCCAATTTTTCTCCATATAAATTTGTTATTTGTCATCGTCATTCAATTGCGATTCATTTCCGAATGCTCTAAGGTATGACTTCTTCTGATTCATTTCGTCTTTTTATTATTAGATACAAGTTCTCTTGTGCGATTCGATACCAGGTAAAAAAACCTAATACAGATGTGTTTAGTTGTAATTAGTCCATTTTTCAATTAAAAACCAAACTAGATCCAGATCAGAGGATAATAGCATGCAGAGGCGGAACCGGAAAATTAGTTCAAGGGGCCAGTCCCCTCTCTCCGCCCATGCTAGTATGGTAGAATTAAATACAAAATCTTACATTTTTTGAAGTACACTGGAATTGGAGTGTGGTTTCTCCAGGACTTAAGGTTAAGGTAATTTTTTATCAATGAATTTGATGATAAACAAAGATGAACGGAGAATGGACAAAGGTATTATTATTTGGTATGTGAGTATATATGGGTACTCTGGTATGGACAAAAATTCTTACTTTTAATAGTAGCTTGTGCAGTTGGTGAAGTTGAGGTATTGGGAATGGATTAGTAATTGATTTATTTCTTTTGACAAAAAGATGCAGAATCCAAAGGAGTCTTGTAGATTGTAAGATATTTATTTTATATAAAGTGTTGTTGTGAAAGGTGGATGACTGATGTTGAAATTATATTTTGGAGTTGTTTTTGTTATGGTTCTTGCTGGAGATTTGGTAGATCATTGGAGCCATTGTCAGATAAAAAAACTGAATAATACCTCAGTATATATTACATAACTGAAAAGTACAGAGAATAAGGTCTCAATCGTATACTAAAAACAGGAAATTTAATGTAATTTGAGTCCGAAATACTGCAGCCATATCACATAACCTGATGCAATTAACCAGGAAAGAATAAGAATGAGGAAACATGGAAAGAAGAGAAAAAAAACAGAATAGAGGAATTTCAGGGTGTGCATACCATACGCATAACATCCCCTATGGATCGTAATCCTTTAGAAATACATTCTCCCTCGTACAGATCAGATCTTGTTGTGTAACTGATTTTCCCTCCACCTCCAGCTCAGCATTTATGATACTCTCATTTTTCTTGCACGTTACAGCAAGTCATGAAACATATGCAAATCTGCAGTTGATAGATAACTCATGGAGTGTGGATCATATAAAAGTTGCTGTAATTGGTTCAGTCTTAGGTTTTTTTGTTAGTGATCTCATTGACATGTTCTATTAGGTGTATCTTTGTTTGAAGTTATTCAATAATTTTTCTTGAAATTTACAAAATTTTTATTATTTCTATTTTAGTGAAACGAAAGTGAAGGCAGAAATTCCTCAGGTTGCAGCATGGGCCTGCTATCTTATGTTAGGTCCACAGTCGTGGGAAAATGTTGCAAAGGAAACTTTGGCATGTCCAGATTCTTGCATACGAACAATTTTCAACGCAAGTTGATTTCATCCAGTCGTAGTGAATCATACTATGAAAATTTTAGCATGAGATCATATTCTTCACTTTATATGACAACTGGAACTGAGTCTAGGACTTCAAGTGCTAGAATTAAGATGCCAAACATAGGAAGTGAAGGATTTGCGTGTTCATCTTATTTATCAACCGCCAAAAGAAATTCAAGAATGATTCATTTTAATAGCAAGGATAGTTGCTCCACAACACCAGTGAAGCCCGAGACTGTTCCAAAATCTGAAATCCATGGTTTAGCTACTGTGATGAGGAAGATTCCATGGGTTCCGAGGTTAGTATTCTTTCACTACCATCTGAATGTTAATATCTATGTTGCATATATAATTAATAGACTCGTGTGATTTGCAACAGCCATGCCAAATGCATAGCAAAAGAAATTATATAACCATCAGTATAATTTCGAATTGAGATATTAAAATAATATTATAACTTATAATGATTAATTATGTATGCTTTCAAAAAACATAATTGATCATTTCCACTAATCAAATATTCTATGAATGTTGCTATTTTTATTTTTAGTTTGATGTGTGGAGGCATCCCCACAATAGCCCATTGTGATGCAGCAGAACCATGGCAATTGGGATTTCAAGATGCAGCAACACCTATAATGCAAGGAATAATAGATTTACATCACGATATCTTCTTCTTCCTTATTCAGATTTTGGTTTTTGTTTTATGGGTTATGGCTCGCGCTTTATGGTGTTTCAGGCATAAAATGAATCCAATCGCCCAAAGGATTGTTCATGGAACAACAATTGAGATTCTTTGGACGATATTTCCTAGTTTTATCCTAATGTTCATTGCTATACCATCATTCACTTTGTTATACTCAATGGACGATGTGGTAGTAGATCCAGCCATTACTATCAAAGCTATTGGACATCAATGGTATTGGAGTTATGAGTATTCAGATTATAACAATTCAGATGAGCAATCACTTGCTTTTGACAGTTATATGATTCCAGAAGATGATCTAGAATTGGGTCAACTGCGGTTATTAGAAGTAGACAATAGGGTGGTAGTACCGGCCAAAACTCATCTGCGTGTTATCATAACATCAGCTGATGTACTTCATAGTTGGGCAGTACCTTCTTTAGGTGTGAAATGTGATGCTGTACCTGGTCGTTTGAATCAAATTTCTACTTTTATACAACGAGAAGGGGTATATTATGGTCAATGTAGTGAGATCTGTGGAACTAATCATGCTTTTATGCCAATCGTTGTAGAAGCAGTTTCTACTAAAGATTATGGTTCTTGGGTTTCCAGTCAGGTCCAATAATTGCAGAGCTGGGCGATGGCGGAGACTTACAGTGGTGCGGAATCTGATGGCAGTGACAATGAGAGAAATAAATTATGTTTTTTCTTTTTTGAGTATTTTTTACTTTGAACAAAACTCTGTCCATGGTTTATTGAGTAGCAAAAACATTAGGTTTTTTGTCTTGTGTATTTCACTTGATTTGTGCTATCCAATTTTACTGTTTAAATAAAACCTGGAACAATTGTATTCTTGTAATCCTATGTCATACTTTTTGAAACTCAAATGCACGCATAATTACTCGTATGGTTATTAATATGTGTTGGAAAATAGAAGGTATTACAATGTCAAAGAGGTATTTCTACTTTTACTCGGATGAAGAAATCATTCCAATCATATCAAGGACGCTATCCACTTTCAAAATATTACAATGAGTTGATGGTATATTTTTGGAACTTGATTATCGCAGGCCAAATAGTACATAGTGAAACTAATGAAGCACACTGTTGAGGATATAAAGTTTACGGTCTTAATTACAACATGGATTAAGCAAGTAGGAAAATTTCGTTTGTCTTTCTTTTAAAAACTCCAGAGGAAGATTACTAATAAATACATAAATAATAGACCAGGAGAAACCACTCAAAGAATTCAAGAAGTTGTGCAGTCTTAATTTAATCAAGTTATTGAATATTGGAAACAAATTTTAACCCTTATCTTCAGTAATTGAAACATAAAATTGGTTGAAAATAATAACTCATTTGAATAAGAGCATTGTGTTTATTTTTATTTTTTTTTTACTTATATTTTGGTCACTATATCTATCAATATATAGATATAGAAATGAATATATATTGTTATAAATTGTTTTATGTTATCCCATCAATAAAATTAAAAGATTATTTCTATGATAACATTCAACCCACAATTTTATTATATTCTAATACTCCCTAAATACATAATACACAATTTAATAATCTAATTCTCTCATATATCTTAATTATAAATCTTTTCTTCCATCCAAACATACAGTAACTTTTAATCTAATAAAATGTAATCACAATAATCACTAACATCACGTACAATAATATCTTACTAAAATTTAAGGATTATTCTTTTATATACAGTTACATGAGACATTTTTTTTAGCTCAGATGATGATACATTTGATTTATTGGTTTTAAGTTATTTTCCAAATTCTCCTTTATCATCTCTATGGTTTATATCAAGTATCATGACTCATAGAATGAAAAACAAAAAACTTATAGGTTCAAACTTTAGTCTCCCATGGTTAGGATTGTCAAATCCAAACTCATCTTAATTTTAAACATTTTTTCTATCTTTACAGGTCCAATTTTATTTTATTAAAGTATAATTAAATAGCTTAATTATGCAAAATAAACCAACTTATATTTTTTTTTTTTTTGACAGAACAGGATATCACACAATAATTAAGTCCTATTTTGATAATAAATCGTTGTTAAAATTCGTAGCATATTAAAAAATTAAAAACAAAACACAAAATGAGAATTGCTCTCGTTGAGAGTCGAACTCAAGACCTCCCGCTTACTAAACGGGTGCTCTAACCAACTGAGCTACGAGAGCTCGTAGTTAGTGATTCTAAAATAAAAATATATAACTAACGTATAAGAGACTTGATTGATGGTATAGGGTTATCGACGGAAGATGTAGTCAAGGGCATTTCCGAAATTGAACGTGGAGAAGACACACATTGTCGTATTATGAGATTAACCATCACACACAACAATTCATAATTCACAATACATCATCACTTATTTTCTTCTTATATAAAACGCAAAACACGACAACTTAACTCTCTCCTCTTGCCGGTGCCACAAACTCTCTCTCTCTCCGACGTACATTTTCTTCCAGTTTCCATCTTAGGGTTTCATGGACTCCGATTCCTGGGTTTCCACGCGCATCTCCATCTCGTCACGTCGCTATCATCCTCGATCTGGTCTCGCACTATCCCCACTCCCTTTTCTCAATTATGAAAAATGGTTCTGTTATTGAATTGAAAAGTTACGGTATAACGAATTGTAATAGCGATTTGCAATGGTTGTTGCAGATCTGTGTATGGAGGAGAGAGAAGGGAACGATGATTTCAGAGCGGAATACCTCTGCCCTTTCTGCGCCGAGGATTACGACGTCGTTTCCCTCTGTTGCCACATTGACGACCATCATCCTCTACAAGCCAAAAACGGGGTCCGTTTCCCCTTTCTTCTTTGCAATTACCAATTACCAACACAACCTTTAGACTTAATATCAAGGTTTAATTACTCGTTTGAAACTTTATTTTTAATCTTTCTAATTAAAAAAAAATCCATATTACATTTTAACCTCAGCATATGCCTTGTAATCTTTTTAATTATAGTTATAGGAACTTAACTCATTAAAAATGTATATTTAGAAGAAAATAAAAAAAGCACTTGTATAGAGATTAAAGTGAGATGTTTCCAATGTTGTAAATGTATATATAATATTTATAAGTATAAAGTTGAAACGAGTAGTTAATCATAATGTAAATTAGTGATCATTGTAACCGATAAATAAATTATATATTTTTATTACTAATATACTTCAACGAGAATGACAACGAGAATGAGCGAGTCTGTTTGCTACTTGAACAGCAATATTGATTCTGTGCTCACATTACATGTTTTTAAGCCGATTTCTTGTTTTGCGCGCTAACTTATGTTTTCTTAATTGTTACTTGATGCTTGTGTTGTCAGGTGTGTCCTGTTTGTGGGAAAAAGGTGGGAGTGGATCTCGTAGGACATATTACCACGCAACATGGGAGTTTCTTGAGGATATCCTTTTTGCAAATTGGCCTGTTTCTTATGTTTTTTGTGCATGGTGTCTATTCTTCTATACTTCAGTTATTTGATAATTTTAAGTTGACAGTTCACTTGTTTGATACTCATGAAGTTTGAAAACTCAATGCACATGTATAATAGAAGAAATAGGAAGTGAAATGAATCATTTTTTTCTGAAAAGTTAAAATTAACTAATGGACTTAAGCTTTTGGAAATGTAAAATTTTATAACTTCCTTAAAGGTTGACATACATCCATACATTGATTTTAACTTAGGAAGGAAGCTTGATTAATTTTATTTTCAAATTTTCTTCTTCCGTAAACATTTAAACTAGGCCAAGATTTGCTGATAGATAAAAATTTCAATATGCATGTATATTGCCTTTATAAAATGAAAAGAAAAAGAAACCTGTAAAATGTCATGTAAAGAGGTTTGTATGTGCCCACCCATCATTATGAACGGTCGGGTTAGCTACTTGACGAGTGTAGATGTGTGATAAATTTCAATGAGCTATGTTTCTATCAAGCAAGTATTTGTTTAGTTTGTTGGAATGAAGAACAGTGGTACCCGTCTAAGCATGCATTATCTGATGTATTTGACTTTTTCCAGGGCTGCTAATTGTTTTGTGTAGTTATTCCTGTGATTTCAAAATTGTCAAATGATAATATCACTTGTTTCTCTGTCCTATCTACTTAACTATCTATGTACAACAAGATTCACTATGAGTAGGGATGACAAAGTCTACGCTCACTATGAATATCTTGAAAATTATCTACAAATGGGTAGGATAATTACCTGCTTATTGAGATGACTCTAGGATAGGTATTTATTTACCTACAAATGTTAATGAGGATGGGGCTGTGTAGGATACTATAGTACTCATCCCACCCTGCACCTAATTTTATTTATATCTATAGTTTTGCTAACGTACACGCATTTGTTTTTCAGAGGCAGTAAGTTAGCTAGTTACGCCTTATATGTATTCTAAAAGAATTGTAGTTATAGCTTACTTACATCTTTTAAAAGATATGTGGATAAGTTAACAAACCCGATTCACATTTACTGACTGAAACCCACTTACATTTTGTGGAAGAGTATATGCTGTTATAACTTAAACCCTACATTGGGTGTATTTTGAAAATTCTGCTGTTATAACTAACATACACTTTCTAAAAGAACAATTGGGTGTAAGTTAGCAAGACATATTGATAAATAACATAAACATTTTCATGCATTCAATTTCTATCGGAATTTTTGAACAAACTAGCATATATGCATGTTAACAATAACCTTATGTGTTGTGAGTGTTATAACAAATTACGTAAGCAATCAACTAAATCCTTGCATTCAAGAGTGAAATTTTGTGATAAATTTTTTAATTAATATTTTTATTTTATTTTTAAATACAGGTATAAATACTATAATACTTCACCCAAACCCTGCTCATTTCCGTTTTCATATGGGAAGTGAACCCCACTCTTATTTCATATCTGCATTCCCTTGAATAACTTTTTCATTTGAAGTACTATTCATTTGGTTAAATGTTTTTCCATAACCAGAACTTACGTGCAGCGTAAAAGGAGGGTAAGGAAAGGAGGCTCTGGTTCAACAATTTCTATTTTGAGAAGAGAGTTACGAGAGGGAGCCTGGCAGTCACTTCTTGGTGGTTCTTCATTCATAGCTTCCTCCAACTCTGAGCCTGATCCTCTGTTAACATCTTTTATGTTTAGCCCAGTTGCAGCTGATGAGTCTTCTAGTGCAACACCTCCTCCTTCTATTGAACGAGCCCGTGTAAAAGAGAGACCAAAAGATGATTTCTTGGAAAGGTAGGAATGTTGATACCTCAGTTTGATTATTTTTTGTATTGCTTGAAAACAGAATGGGAAATATTGAGGTTGTTGATATAAAAGTTTTAGCATTGGATGCATGCATAGGTGCATAGGTCTTCTGCTCTGTTTGCAGTTAAATTTGTAATCATTTTCTTTTCTGAAACTGACTGATGAAACAAGAAATGATTTCTTGCATTTACGCATTCATGAATTGGAACCATTAAATGTTTGATCAGACAGCTCACATTCGAATACGTATTTAAGCTAGATTTATCAAGATGTAGTGAATTGTTCGATATGCACTCAATGGTTATGATTAGTGGAAGGGATAAGTTCGACTGTTATACGATCATTTTAGCATCGTGTCACACTACTTCAAAAGCTTTTCCTTCATTCTATGGTTCACAGCTCTTCCAAAACTTTTAGTCTGACAATATTGTATGGTTACAGAAAACCTAAACAGTCACAGCTGTCAGAAGAGGATAAAGTAGAGAACGCTCGAAGGTTTGAATTCGTGCAAGGCCTTCTGTTGTCCACCATTCTTGATGATTGATTAATTATGACTGCATTTGTAGCTCGTATGCCATTACTGTATTAGGAATTGGAGCTGTAAGCAAGAGAGAGAGAGAGAGAGAGTCAGAATGATACGAAGTGGCAGTAGCTACATTGGATATATTATATATATGTATTGTGTCTATAGTTATTATGTTCATAATATGCAACCTTTTTTTTTCTTATCCTGCTTGTCTTCTGTGTTTGTTCCAAATAACCATTGGGAATAAAATTCGTTTCACGATCACGGAAACATGGGGCAGTAGATTTTATATTGTAGCCCCATTCGATTTATGGTTTGTCTGAGATATTTGTAGGTCTATAATTAAGGTAGGTTTAATGCAGTGTCAATTTTAGATAATCTTCCACGCCAATTGGTTGAATTTTCTGATAGGTTATAGGGACCAAGTTAGTTATTACTTGAATGTTTCAAAAATAATCTTGTTTACATAGCATAATAGGGCGAGTTATTAAATACGTTGTATACCGAAGATTATGGGGGCTTTGATCTTTTAAGAAGAGAATTTTAGTACGTGTTTTAAACTTTTAAATTAATTTACTGTGGGAGTTCATATTAATGAGTTTTCTAAGGCACAAATACAATTTCTCTTTATAGTATTCCAAGGTAAGGTATGATATTTCAAATATATGTAAAGCAAAGGATGTCAAAAGATAAATTTCATTTGAGAAAAAACTTTTCAATATTTTCTCAAATTACACTAACACTAGTCTTTATAAAATTTTAAACAAATCTTCTATTTATTTGAAAAATGTTATATTATTCCTTCTTTTTACATTCGTCATGCACCTTTTACTCTTTTAAGAAATATTATTGTAATGATGATAAAAAAAGAGAGTGGAAGATTCAAGTCTAATTTACTTTACAAAATTTAATACATAATTGCTACAATCAGTTGTAGGTAATAATGTCATAGGTACTTCCAGAATCTAGGTATAACAAAAGCGCTCTCAAATTTGCTGAAAAGCCTCAACTTGTAGTGTTTCTTTGTTAAGAATATGCAGTACAGTGGCATTCCTCTCGAGAGTGGATGAGAACAAATTAATTCAGAATTTACATTATTCATAGGAAAAGCTAATAGAATGGAAGCAGTAGTGTGGAAGCTAGAAACGCGTAGGATAATTACATCTTACAGTTAGATGGTTGCTGTCGTCTGTACAAAACTAGATAGAGTGCCAAAGATTGGTAATCATAACTTGGATAACAACTCCGTTACCTCTTGAACCAAGATGAAACCCATCATTATTTGAACCTGATTAAGATAAAAATGTTATAGTTGATACCCTTTTAAATATAACACAGACAGAAACTGAACAAAGACAGCAATTCATACCTTGTAAAGCTGTTGATAGGGAATGGTAGGTCAGGAAGCAGGCACTCAGGCTCTGTAGAGTGGGACCGAATCAGTAATTTATTAATAATCATGTGCATTATACAACCCTAACAATCTTATTAACAAAATGAATAAGATAAAACATACCAAGCCAAAAAACATTTACAAATGCAGCTAACACTAAATTGTTAATGCTACGGGCAACAGAACAAAATAGTTTCAGAGTGAGACCTGCTCACAGTATTATGATGTTCAGTCATGCTAACATTTGATAACCTAAATTACAGATATAGTAGGTAAAAGGCATTGCTTACAGCAAGTGTACGTAAGTTTAATAGCTCAGAAGAACAGCAAGTTGCAGTAACCACTTTATTGCTGTACTCAACTCAGGTTTGGATTACTAGTCCAATATCCTTGGCTTATAAATAAAGTAAGATATCCAAACAGTTAAGTTAGTGTCTCCTTCAAGTTGAACTCATGAGAGTTATACCTTAGCTTAGAGCATCTTCACTGCAACATGCCAATGGCATTTCCATGCCACAATAATCTGAAGCCGAGAAATTTGTTAAGATATTATATCTTTAGGTATATGAGTGTTTCGTGAACCTACCCCTTATGGTAGGGATACTGCTCCATCTTTGTTGAGAGTCTTATCTCCTCCACATAGGTAGGGGTATTCCGATTTCATTAAAAAAGGGTCTTATGACAAAAAACATAGACTTGTTACCACCTCAACAGACTTGCGTCTACCGTGTGGTTAAGAAGTTGTATAGGTTAAAAAGTAGTAAGTGAAATTAATAAATATGGTTTGATTGAGGTTTTAATTCTTTTGTCTCATTATTCTTTTAAATATAAATTTACTTTTTATTGTCAAGAAGGTCCACGTTGAATAAAATAGAATGAATAAGGTGCTAGAATTATGTAAATCCTCCAACATATATTCAATTTTTATGAATGAATTTTTTTAAAAATGATTGAAGAAAAAAAATATTTTTAAACAAGATAAAATTAAATCATGTTAATTATTATTTTTTAATTATTTTGAATATTCTTCTTTTCCTTTACCTCATTTTCACATACATGACTCATTACTTGTATCACTTTCTCGAAAAAAAATTTTCTGCTCCTCTCAAATTTCCACAACTATCGATTACATTTTATGGTGGGTGAATGTCACTTCTATTACTGAAAATCCACCACCATCTTGACTAATGAGTCAACCACTTAATTATTTTCCAAATATTTTCTAGCCACCAAAATTATGGGAATAGAGTGGAAAACCCCACCAAGATGGTAGAAGTATACCAAACCAGCACACATCATGACCATTGCAGGCCACGGCATCCAGTGCTCTATATAAACACTACCCTTTCCATATACCAGAGATCACATAGCAGCAACCAACACTAACATCTTCTGACAATAACCACATCACTAGCCTCTGTAGATTTTCCATCTTGATCATGGGTGTATTTACTCAGGTTTATGATACCCCTGCTGCTGTGCCTCCTGATAGGCTTTTCAAAGCCATGACGTTAGATTTCCATAACCTCTTCCCAAAGCTTGTGGATAGCTTCCACAATATTGAATTCACCCAAGGAAATGGTGGTCCTGGCACCATCAAGAAGATCACCACCAGTGAAGGTCAGTAAGTATGCCTTAGTACTTCAACACATGATATATAGTATGTGTTTAAGAAGACTGTCTAAGGAATTCATTGGAGATCCATTTTAATGTGTAAAAATATGTTTAATGCATGGGAGCAGGTGAGGAAACGAAGTATGTGCTGCACAGAGTTGATGCAATTGATGTGGCAACCTTTGTATACGACTTCAGCATAATTGAGGGCAGTGCCTTGCCAGACACATTGAAGAAGATCTCATTCCAGAGCCAATTGGTAGAAGGCCCGAATGGAGGAACAATTAGGAAGGTGCGTGTCCAATATTTCACAGAAGGTGAAGCTACGCTTAGTCAGGAGGACCTCAACGCTAACCAAGCCAAGATCCAAGGGCTTGTCAAGCTTGTTGAAGGCTACCTTTTAGCAAATCCTGATTACTGATCAACCTCTTTCTTGTTAATCATTAAAATCTTGACTATGGTGCGATCCTTGATGGAGATATACAAGTTCTTGGGTCGAAAATATGTATGTAGAACTTGAATAGTTCCATACAGAAAAATAAAAGTGAGGTTAGAACTCAATAAAATTACCATTCCTTGGAAGTGTCGTTGGCAGGAAAAAAAAAAAGAGTAACTGAAATAATTAGTTAATGTAATAATTGAACTTAATTTCTTCGTTAGCATTAACCTTGTTTAAAATAATAATGAATCATAAACAACCACATCTCCAATTCATTTCTGATATGTTTTCCCTTTAATTAAGAAATAATGTATCATGAAATGGATGATGTTTCAGGGAAAATTCGAAAAGCCAATAACACACTTAATAGGAGTTATAATCGCGGACAAAAAGAAAAAAACAAATCCTGTTAAAACCAGTCAGATCATATATTTCTATTCATTCACACTTTTTTTTTTTAAATTACTTATTACATGAACTTTTGCATTTGAAATAAACTCAAAAGTATTTATCCAAGGTTTTGAAGTAACCTGTACAACTGAACCAAAAGTTACAAATTAACAATGAATTTATTTTTCTTTCAAAATGCACGCTATTTACCAGTGTGCATAGGTTTATTTGGTCTAAGAAAATAAATAGACAAGTTTGTTGCTACTATTATTATGACCGAGTCACAAAGTCTGATGACAAAGACTTCCATTCAACTTTTCTCTCTCCATAATGACCAAGACTTTCACGCAAAATAAACAACTATTTAGTCCAGAAAAGAAAGTGACGTCAATTTAATTTTCTGAAAAAAAAAAAAAACATAACTTTAGTTATATACACCGTCAACTTGAAATTTACAAAACTTCAATCATGGCAATCTAAACCTAAATCTTAGCATTCATACATCCAATCAGCAGATTTGGTTGGATACAGATTATTTAAGAGCTTAAGGCTTAAAAGTTAGTAATCAATTCGAACCATGTTTGTATCTCTATTTCTCCACTATTTTTTTTTGTCAGCATAAATATATATCACTAGAGACAACACCGAAGAGCTAGCAACTCTTAAGCAGCACCCACTGAAGTATTATCCTGCACAATCTGCAAGAGAAACCATGTTTCAGATAGGCACAAATAAAATAATAGGATTGTTCAAAACTATACACAATAGATGATATTTACATTGATCAAGAGTAATGGTTTTATCAGAAGCAGCAAGTTCTACATTACTAGAAAAATAAACTAAACTAGAGTTGAGTAATCACATGTTATCTGTTTCCAGAGGATACACTAAGGTTACAAGACAGGCCAAAAAAATTTAAACCACCTTGGTCTTGCTGTGAAACATATTTGAACAATGCTCCACAGATTGATCTATTTGCTTCAGCTGTTTTTTCAATGTTGACTACTACGTTCAGCAACAAATGAGTAATATAATAGCAACTTGCATCGGCATCAAGCTAAAGCTCCCATAAAAGAAGTTCACAAGACATTTACGTAGCATTTGGAAGACATATGAAGTGCTTGTTTGAAATTACAAAAATAGTTCAGAACTACCATAAAATCTTAACTTGTTTCAATAAGCATCTAGTGTAGTAGCTTATCAAAATAAGTTCTCGATTTTAAAATAGAAACTTATTTCGTAGTCAAATTTATGCATAAATCCTTGTGTGATAATAGCTTAATTAAACTATATATTCAATCATGCCATTATTGCCCAATATAAAATTGAGTTAAATGATTTAAAAGAGAAGAAAGAACAAAACACAAACTTATATAATTTGCTTTTCCAAGACACTACCTGAGATATGTATTCCTTCACCCTGTCGCTCATGGGTGCATCTAAAGTTCTCTCAGCTAGCTCATAATATACAGTATTGCCTTCAGGACCATTAACTTTGTCTTTCTGTAAATACCTACAAAATAAATGATGAATAAATAACCAATTCAAGGTTTGTCACTAGAAATCAGAAATGCCACAAAATGCAATAAATCTTGTAATTTAAATCCAACACATTAAGCAAATCTCACCTTTGCTGAACAAGAAGTTCCAGTGCTTGCTTAACATTTCCAAGGACTGGATGATTTGCTTCATTTTCACCCAAACCCATCCTCCTCAATTGGCTCCATAGATTTTCTGCAGTACTTTCGCCGAGTTTCATAGTGTTAAAAAGACAGCATAAGAATAACCCTTGAGACTTTAATTAAAGCTTTAGGCCAATAAAGCAAAATTCAAAAAAAAAAAAAAAAAACATAGAAGCTTTGGATTTATGATATTTGTCTAGAGACCTTCAAAGTAGTAGTATTGACTTCCATAAGTTTACTAGGAGCATACGCATATATACTTATATATAATTTTAGCATTAAGACACTAAATAAACAATCATACCTTCTGGAATTTTGCCACCAGCAAGATGTACAGTACTAATTATGACAAAAGTGAATCCAGATATATGCGCATTATTCGCATCCACAACATATTTTTCATATATATTAGGAGGAAGTTGACTTGTGAGAATATATGATTTTGAATCTGCACCACCTGAAAGAACAAAGCATCATCAGACCATTAGAGGAAAATGCAGTTGGAAACAACAAAAACATTGTGGAAAACTCCTGGGAACACAACCAGCTTTGGACAAATAAAGCAATTCAGTGTAAATTTTCCCGTTTCCTCAAAACGCATCTCCACAACACTTTTACAGATAGAAGAAAACAATGTCAAATGAAACCTAAGCATTCTCAAGTCTAAGTAGTCTCTACTGATTACTAGGTATAGGTAAAAGTATTCTCATCATCAAAAGTCCGAATGATATTTATATCATATAGCCAAAGCAACCACAAAGGCAGATCAGTCATCAATTATCAAGACAAACTACATGACTTATAATGCGGCAGTAATAGCCCATTAAAATATTCCTAATCATAAAATAACTGAATAAGCAATCCAGCCCATATAACAGTTCTATCATTCACTGCATACAACCAAACAAGTGCTTAAGCAGCTATTAAAAATACACAAAACTGAACTCATATATTTATACAACTCAATCATTACCATGGCATGTCAGCTAGGTCTTGTTTGGATAAATATTTCATTAAACACCTATAAAAAAATAAATAAAAGAACAAAATGAACTAATCTCTTCTCATAAGCTAAATCAACTTGTGCATTTCAACCTTTCATAGAAGAGTTCATATTTAACTTCTCCAGAAACTAAATTATCTTGAAATGTGATACACATACAACAAATCAAAAACAATTTGTACATCATTTTTTGTGTCTAATACTTCTTATCACAACATTTTTCATATTTCATATTTCTCCATAGAAGCAAATGACGTGTCTGTTCATAACTTGAGTGGGTTGTTTAAACAAGCAATGCCATGGTTGTCAAACTCTCGAATCTATATAGACTCATGGAATTTTCAGACTCACTTGTAAACTCGCAAGGTTTACCTACTAAAAAAAAAATAAAAAAATCTATGAATGACATTTGTGCATAGCATAATACTTTTAACACAATAATAAGTTGACATTTCAACATCATAATAAATAAAAGCAAACCACAATAATAAATTATGATAGTATATTAGTCTTAAATAAGATTAAAATTACATAAATGACCCAATCAGGTATAAGCTATAAAATGCACATATAAAAGATTTTTTTCATGTATGTATATATATATATATAGAGAGAGAGAGAGAGGAGATATTCATTCATTCTAAAAGTAAGAGTTAGGGATTTACTCTTCATCCTCATCGTTCATTTTTTGGTAACCTATTAGTAATTCATCTTAACTATTAGATTTGGATGGTGAGGATGAAAAGTCTTTTCTCCCTCTATTTCTTCCCTCTCTATCAAACAAATAGTTACAAAAAACTCTTTTATTCACAAAATTTAATAGGGTTTAGGTTAAGTACTAACTTTAGCAAGTTTAGCAGTGGAGTTAACTTTTGTATAAAGTTCCTGAATGCATGTGACATTGTAAGACCATACATTGTCGATGCTCTAGTTATACAAATAACATTTCTCTTTTAGCATAATTATAAGAGAAATTTAACCTTACAAGAGAAACTTTATTCAATTTCTTTTCATAAGTAGTCATGGAGAAGCTATACCCTAAGAGAACCATAATATAGGCTGAAAACACAAGAAAAGCCAAAATGCTCACTTTGTTGGGATAACCGTGTTTGGGCTTTGGATGAAGGGAGGGCCCTTTGAAGCTCTTTCATTTCATACCCAAATACCGAGGAAAGCTTCTCCTTAGCCTCGTTAATCACAAAGGTAGGAAGGTTACGCTGATGATAGTTCTTCGTAACGAGTTGAGTGAGTTCCTCTCTCTTTATAGGGCACCCTGAATTTTGATGGGTTTTGAAAAGCATATACCTAATCACTTCCCCAACAAGCTTATCCTTTTCCTGAAAATCAATTCAAGTAAGAGCTTGCCCTACTTTCCATAATATGTGCATTTTTAAGAGTGGGTGATGAAAACAAAGGAAAAAAATCAATCACCTCCTTTGAAATCCCGAATTGGGAGAAATCTTCCACGGAGTTTGCCATCCTGCAAGGATTGGGAGCACAGAATGATAATGCGTTGGTTTTAAATTGGGTAAGCATGCAGTGAAAAGGGGGTGATGAAGGGAAAGAGAGTAAGGAAATTCAAACCTTAAGAAGGATGAAGAAACTGTAAAGAGGTGAAAAGATTGAATCTTTTTTAAGTTTCTCTCTTCGAATTGGACTGTGCTTATGGGAATATACTGTATAAATTTGTTATCATTCTTTGAATTTTTTGATAGTTTAATTTTTAAAAATATTAGAATCTTTTATCCATTTAAATAATTAGTATTATATCCTGCACGGCATGTAAAATAAATGTTTATTTAATATTAAAACTTATAATAAACAAATATTATACACTTGGAGTGTCTAGCATATTTCATAATATAGATTTGGAAGGAACATGTCAAGCTAGTTTGAATTCAGGAGATACTTTAATTTAAAGTAATCAGTTCTCCAGGTTGTTCAAAGAAATTTTGATATTAGGAATCAAACTAACTCGATCATATTTGAATACAAGTTCTGTTATCTGGTTTGTTAATTTAGTAAAAATCGGTATAACAAAGATAAGCGGCAAACTAAGATCCATATCTAGAAGATTCTATTCAGTATAAGTATACCAAGAATAACAGCTCATATATTACCCTGATTTAAACCCAAGAATAAAGAAAAATCATGCATATATCATGGCAGAATCCAAGCTTCGAACCAATTTAACATAAAAATACAACAAAAACACAAAACCCACCAAATAGTATTCTCAGTTAGCACAAACCAACCAACAAAAACAACAAAACAAAACACACATGTTCACATACTCTGAATCAGTTTCCTCTCGCACCCATAATTTCAACTAAGAAAATCAATGTAACAACATGCATAGTACTAGAATCTAGGTGGTGGGACTTTAAGTTCAAGAGAAGGTTACAGTCAAATAGAAATTTCATACAGTCTGCTGGGGGGGAGATAGAGAAAGACAAGAACTAAAAAATTAGAAACATTACGGTTTAATGCTAACAAGGGACTGGTTATAAGTGGAATAAAATTAAGTTCTGAATTCAATTTATGAAATATTATATTAGAAAAACCAGCGCATATGGAATACACATCAAAATGCTCATTTCCATAGGATAATAGTTCTTACATGGATGACAACATCAGACAAGAAAACACTAGAAATCTTCACATAAATTGTTCAGTATTGAGAAATGAATGTAATATATACTAAAAATGAATTTACAAAGGTAGGTTAAAAGATAAATTGGAGAAAGGATTGTTTTAATGTAAATACATGTGAGGTAATGAGTTGGAGAAGTCAAGATTTCCTGATTTACATGCAATACAGAGACCAAATCTGGAACCAGAACACATACAATGGGCACTACCAAGCACACGGATGGTTTCATTCGACATTGTACAAAAGATTCTCTCATACATTACACGGGAACAAAAAGTAAAAGTCTATCAACTAATCACTCAACATTGAAACAAACAGAAACAGAATCTCATCTCAGATAAAACGAGAATATCAACATAAATAAAAAAGGATTCAAGAAAGATAATAAGATGTACAAATCTCATCTCAGAATATCAAATAGAAAATTGTAAACATTAACTGATGATGAAATAAGCAATCTTAAAAGAGAAACTTGCAATTCGATAAAGGGAAAGACAAATGATCGGGAAGGCAGAGGAACTTTGATTACAGAGGTAAATCCTGCAATGCAAATCCCTAACTCTGGTTCTCACCAAAAACCTCGAGGTAGATTCCAGGTTCTCACGGAAACCTCATGGTAAACCCTGCGAAGCAAAGACCCAAATTCTATCCATTATTCTATGAGTAATCACGTGTAATGACTACCCAAATTTGAGTACAGGGATGAGCCAAAGCGATGAAGAAAGCAAAGGTTGTTGAGTAAGCCATGAGAGAGAGTGAGCAAGTAAAGTTTACCTGAGAGCTTAGCCTTGAGAGTAGGCGAACTTCTAGGGGCTTCCTCGGGGGCGACTAGGGTTATTTTGGGGGCCACAATAGGGCTCGTCGGGGACAATAACAGCTTAGGGCTCGTCGGTATCGGCGGTGAGAAGGGTATCGTTCGTCTAGGGTGAACACAGAGCTTCGAAAACGGCGAATAGGGTTACGTCGGCGTCGGCGGCAGCGGCGACTAGGGCTTTGTTGCCGACGAAGGGATGAGTAAGGTACGCAACAATTTTGGGGTAGAGTACTGTGTGAGAAAGACGGCAAGGGGGAAGGTGAAAAAATTTAGGAGAAAATAAAAATCAATTATATTTTACCACGGTTTCTAAAAAGTCACCCTACTTAACGGAACGGGGTCAGAAAACCTCGTTAAATGCATTGATCATTGATGTTATTCTAACTAGTTAAAATGTTATTTTAGTGGTACTATGTTGTCTTAATCTGTCGGTAATTACAATTATCATTATTATTAGAAAGTTAATCTAAAACTTGTAGTGTTAATTAATTATTAATAGTAAGTTTCAATGTAGCTTTAATAGTCGTCCACAATAATTTATAATCATTATGACTTATAATTTGCGTGATTTCAGGAACCAGCTTCTAATTTTAAATAGCAATATGTAGGTTTTCGTTGTCGATAAATATATACGAGTTTATTTGGTCTAAGAAAATAAATATACAAGTTTATTATTATTATTTTGTCAATTTGGCTATGACTGAGTCATAAGGTTTGATGACAAAGACTTTTATTCACCTTTTAAAAAGTGAGAACATTTCTAAGCATATTATTATTTTAAGTTTTGATGATATCGAAGATCTTGAATCATTCTGGATAAAAAATTAATTCTAGATATATCTATCAGAGTAAATACACCATACGAATTTATACGTTTTAAAATAAAATAAAAAATTACTTTATTCCCCAAAAAATAGAAATATTTTTTAATAAGACATAATTTTTTATGGAACATATTTTCTCATCTTAGCCTTTTCATGAATAATGCAATAAAAAATAATTTTTAGAGAGTATTATAACATTATTTAAGCAAATTAAAAATATGTACAGTCCTACCCATTTTTTAAAATACTCGTATATATTCTTTATATTCCTTCCGATTGACTGATTCTTAGTCTTCATTGCCCTAATCCCATTAAAAAACTAGCAAATACGAGATGACCAAATAATTAAATGAACATCGTGATGAGCACCAGCCATAGTGAACTTGTCGAGCTAACAAGTAGAATTGATGAGAAAAATGGTAGCTGGTGTGAGGCTATAAATAGCATCTCTCTCTATGCCCTGAACGCATCACAAACTAAACGCACGATCATGGGTGTTTTTGCTTACGATGATGAGAACTCCTCTACCGTGCCTCCAGCAATACTGTACAAGGCTCTGACAAAAGATTCCGACAGCATCTTCCCAAAGGTTATTCCGGCCATCCAGAGCATTGAACTTGTTGAAGGAAATGGTGGACCGGGAACCGTCAAGAAGGTATCAACTATTCAAGGTCAGTGTATAATATTCACTGGGACTGTAAAAGTGTCAACATTTTACCTCTTTCTAACTACTTCTCTTAAGAGATACTAAATATAGAATTGTTTTTAGAAAATATATAGAAATATCTTAGGAAATTTACACATTTTAATGCAAATATATTTTAATTTCTAAACACACTGCTTAGTATTTGCCTTTCACTTAATCTAATCTGAATTATTCATTTTAGTTACATCATTAATGTTTTTGCTTTTAGCTTAATAATGTATTTGTGTATAATTTTTAGTTATAATTTGTTATAGATAAATTTTTATATGTACACTATTAAAAATTAGGGATTTTAATGAGTTAATTTTTCAAAAGAACTCTCATTTTATTTTTAACAAAAACTTATTTTTAAAAACAAGTTATTATATTAAATTATATATTGACTGAAATCAGTGACATATCTTAGTGACGGATCTTAATAAATACGGGGTCAATTATAAAAAAATTATATCATAATAACTAAAAAATAAAATATTTATTTAAAATTATATAATTCGTTCTTTTAAATATTTGAATTCATCAATAATAGAATAAAAACTAAAGTTTTCAGTTATTTTTTTCAATATAAATGATTATATTATCTGCAAAAATTTCATTTTCTATTTTATTTCGTAGTCTTGTTTTGATAATCTTTATTGTAGAAAATAATTTCTCAGCTATAGCTATAGAAACAAGAAGAATTAAATAAGACAATTAAAACGATCTATTAAGTAAAATGTACTTGTTTTTGTTAAAGATTGACATAATTTAAGCATGATAAACAAATTTTTTAAATCTTGATTATTAGAAGCATCAAGTATAAAATGATAAAGTTGAAATTTTAAATTAATTTTTTCTTATTCACTAAAATCCAAAGAATAACAAATAATAATAAAATAAATAATGTGAATAAATAATAAAAAAATACTTTTTTTAATTAATATAATTTTAAGAATGAAATTTGAAGAGTGAAAAAAAAATAATTAGTTTTAATTTTTTTTATGTAATATATTTCTTAAAAATTAAAGAAATAATTAAATATTAGTAAAATATTACTGTTAACAAAAAAATATAAAAAAAAGTGAGAGATGATGGAAATATTAGATAATAAAATTATTTTTAATTTTTTTATTTGATTTACTCTTTCAATTTTTTTATAGTATATTTAGTATTAGGGGCCAGAATCACCATGACCTCTTTCCTACTACTAAGATCCGCCGGTGCAGTGAGACAGCTAATTCTATCTACGTGAGTCTATATAATATAATGTTAGTGCATGTAGAATTAATTTATGGCGGTGTTGCAGGTGGCGAAACAAGCTTCGTGCTGCAGAAAGTGGATGCAGTGGACGAGGCCAACCTGGGATACGACTACAGCATAGTGGGAGGGACAGGCTTGCATGAAAGTTTGGAGAAAATCATACTCCAGACAAAGGTGGTGCCTGGCCCTGATGGTGGCTCCATCTCCAAGGTCAGCGTCAAATACCACACCAAAGGCGATGCACCGCTCTTAGATGCAGTGCGTGAAGAATCAAAAGCCAGAGGAACTGGTGCTTTCAAGGCCGTTGAGGGTTACGTTTTGGCAAATCCTGCTGAATACTAGATCCATCTCTCATGTGCCTTCTTGGGTTTGGTTTGGTTTGGTTTAATTTCCTTGTGAGCAAACACTTTTAAGTGTTACAATGATGTCGGTTCTAAAAAATCTACGTGTGTGTGTTGTTGGTGTGGACGTCGATCTCCATCTGTATTCTGGAATAAATATATAATACAATACTATATTGCTGTTTCTCTTCATGCTAGGGCCAAGTAGATTATACAATCGAACCTGTTAACAAGTTGTTTATTAAAAGGTCTTTGTAAATTAAAAAAAAAAAACATTTTCCCTTCGTCACAGACTTATATATATATATATATATATATATAACGTCCATTAATGAAATTGAACAGAATTTCTTACTACAAATGGGTTATACATCTGACCGTATATAAAATAAACATATATAGTGTTGTTTGTCACAAAACAACTATGACTCTTAATTTAAGTTCATTGCTTCAATACACAGTAAGAGCACGTAAGATGATAAATAAATGTAGTATACAGATAGCAATTGTAGATCAAAGACCATCCAGATGTCTCGGTTTCAATATTGTTTTGTGTTAAAATTTCATTGACCTGATTTGTACAAGTAGCATTTTCCCCTTAGAACAAAAGGATAATCTTAATCGAAGATACTAATAACAAACGTGTACTCATCTGCATCTATATAAACTAATCAATAATAGTCAAGCTCCGAAAGATAAATAACCAATATTTTCTAATAATTTTGTAAAGAAGGCATTGAATGATTTGACGAGTCTGGTTCCTTCTCAAGTCGGCTATTGTTAATTATCTATTTTGTCAGATTATTTGAAAATCATTCAAACTAATTGAATAATGAATAACAAGTTTGCGTATTCGGTGAACTATTCCAATTCCCAGCATCGCCTATATAAAATGCCGTGTTCACAATCCACGAAATCGCACTCACGACATATATTTTCTTGTACCTGCATTAACCCTCGTGTAAAAAATCATGGGAATTGTCACTACTGAACGCGAGCAAGTTTGTGCTGTGGCTCCTGCAACACTATTCAAAGCCATGGCCTTTGATTTTAGCAATGTTTTTCCAAAAGCTGTACCCAACTTTGTTAAAGTGTTGAAATCATTGGAGACGGAGGGCCTGGATCCATCAAGAACATCATTCTTGGTCATGGTAAGTTAAATTTTAACTTTTAAAATATTTGAGCTTGTACCATACAGAATGTGATAACATATATATATCAATCAATTGGAGTATAGGATACGTGAATCAAAAGGTAGATGTGGTGGAGGAAGAAAACTACGTGTACCACTACACAGTAGATGAAGGTAGTGTATTACCGGAGACACTGGAGAAGGTGTGCTATGAGTATAAATTGGTGGCAAGCCCTGGGGGAGGATGCATCATCAAGTGCACAATCAAATACTACACCAAAGACGACGCACAACTCAAAGATATGAGTTTTTGAAGGTTAACAAGGAAAAATCTGCTGGGTTCACCAAAGCTGTTGTGGATTATCTTTTGGCTAATCCTCATTACAACTAAAACAGACCAAACCTTTAGTTTTCCTCGTGCATGTTGCTTCAATTAATACTTCATTTGTGTGACAACTGTACATCATGTTTTGTAGAACTATAACTGATCCATATACTTTAATGAATAATATAAAAACTCTTAAAAATGTTATTCTATTCTTCTTTTTTTAATTTAATATTTCTAATATATATATATATATATATATATATATATATATATATATGTACTATGCCCAGTTATTATTATTTTATAATAAAAATGCTAATTAAGCTATGATAATAGTTGTATAAGAAATGTATGGAAAAGAATAAAAAGATCAATAGACCCTGTTCCCTTTATTAGAAAACTTAACTCAATTTCAAGAATTAAGAAAGGAATAAAGAATACAAGACATTACAAGAAAGGGAACTGTAAGGAGTGAATAAAAAGAATTTCAAGAATCAAGAAAGGAATAAAGAATACAAGAAAGACATAAAAATTAAACCATGATATAAGTCACCTATTAGCGTAATTTTCTGAATTGAACTCTAAAAACTACACTTTACACCTTAGAGATTTGAGAAAACTCCTACAGTTTAAATAATATGATGTCATTTTGTTAATGAAATGTACTTAGTTGTGAGATAAAAGAATTAAATGTCCTGAAACTAAACTAAGATATTTTTGAAAAAGTTTATATATTATCATTTTAATAGTTTTTTTTTTCAATTCTTTAAACACATATGTGTAATTGATTATCATTCAATTTGTTGGCGACAAATGACATTATTCAAGTGTATTTATTTTAGAACAAATAATATATTATTAATAAATAAATATAAAATATTAAAATATGAAAGATTAAAATTATAAATATATAAAATATATTTAATAATTATTATATTTAATGATTAAAATCATAAATATATAAATCAGTTACAAAATTTTGAAAAAGATATATTTATCATCTCTCAAAACATCTGTCACTGATATTATAATTAATTTTCCTATTATTTTTAACATTATCACAAATCACTGATATTATAATTTATCTTCTTATTATTTTTACCCTTATCACAAAGAATATAAATTGTGTTATATGATAAGGTCCAAAAGTTATACATTGTCATAGAAGTTTATCTGTGTGTACCTTCAATACCTATGGGCTCATATTCAAAGAATTTGTAAGGCCATATTATCTCATAAAGAATTCGGTATTAAAATATTCAATTTTCAATAAAACACAGGAAAAAACTTAAAACGTATTTTAACTAAATTTATTAATTATATATTTTTTAACCAGGACAAAATTTGAAAAATAAAATATTATTTTTGAAAATATTTTTGATTAAATGTATATAAATTGAACAATTTTAGATTAATCGGTTTTTTAAAAATACATAATTACAAACTAATATTTATATATAAAAATTATTTTTAATTTAAAAATTTATTTAATTTCTTCACATAAAAATACTTATAAATGATTTTATTCAAACAAAGAAGTCTCAAACAAAATGGTTGTGGTTATGAGATTTAAGAAAAGGAGTACATGAGAACAGTCCCTTAATAAAATTTAAGAGAGTCTCTAAACAAAATCCATATTAATGGTTACAAAACCAGTAGATAATTAAAGTTTTTTTTAGGTACATACTATATAGAACTTAATTTGAATAATTTATGCATATATCAGCATGTATATTAATTAATCCATCGTAATCAAGCTTCAATAGACTAATTCACCAAAATTGTGTATAAATTTTTATTCTCTAATAAAGTATTCCAGAAGGAGCTGGTTCCTTCTAAAGTCGCATCTTTTAATTTGACTATATTATATTATATTATATTAATTTATTATTTCGGCAAATTATTTAAAACATTCAAACTAATTGAACATTATTTAGCATGCGTATTAGGGGAACTTCACACTTCCCATGTCTATATAAAATGCCGTATCTCAATCAACAAATTCAGTGTCTTCTTCATATCACTTCTTGAAGTAATCCTTTCTGTCCAAAAATCATGGGAATTGTGACAACTGAAAGCGAGATAGTTTTTGCAGTGGCCCCTGCAAGACTTTACAAAGCCATTGTGCTTGATTCTAGCAATTTTTTTCCCAAAGCTTTACCAAACTTCGTTAAGAGTGTTGAGATCATTGAAGGAGACGGAGGACCCGGAACCATAAAGAAGCTCAGTCTTCCCGAAGGTTAATTTAGTTTAGCTTTGAAATCATCTTTTATATCAACAATATTGTATCATCTAATCATGAATGTACCGTTTATGTATATGATTAGGGTATGTGAAGCAAAAGGTGGATGTGATCGACGTAGATAACTACGTTTACCACTACACAATAGTTGAAGGCAATGTTCTGACAGACCCACCATTGGAGAAGGTGTCAAATGAGTACAACTTGGTGGGAAACCCTGATGGAGGAGGATGCATCGTGAAGGTCACACGCAAATACTACACAAAAGACGATGCTGAACTCACACAAGAGTTTCTGCAGTCTACCAAGGAGATGTCTGCACTGTTTGCCAAGGCTGTTGATGATTATCTTTTGGCTAATCCTGATTACAACTAGAACAGACCAACCCCTTCAGTTTTTGCTGCAGATTGTGGTGCTTTCTGTGTTCTTCAGCCATTCTGTTATGTTCCACTGCTTGATTTGATTGACAAGTGTGAAGTTATGTAAGAGTTGTTTATGTGTATACATGTATAATAATGTTGTAAAACTAAGTAATCAATAAACTATATTGAATAATATAAAGCCGTCTTTTGGTGTGGTATATGATGAATGTACGGGACAACAGTAAAAGATAGAGACACTTCCTTTCTTCTAGAAAAGTCACCTCACAGTAGTTTTGGAGATTAAAAGACAAGAAGTGCAGAAATTAAAGAATCAAGAAAGGAATGTGTGGGAAAACAATACAAAATAGATAGAGGAATGTCACCACCACACAGCAATCAAAAAATTATAAGAAAGGGAAAAAAGATTAAGGAGCTGAGAAAATCAAGTTCAAGCATTAAGAATGGAATAAATAAAGTAAGAAACAGATCAAATAATTAAACCATGATTTTTGGAATTGCACTCGAAAAATTTACCACTGGATTCATATGTAGTAGGGGTTGTATAAGGCGGTTGTAATATTTAAAAAATTAAATTAGTTTCAAATGCAGGGTACATAAAAAGGACTGATTTTAGTGCAGATTTCACTTGATTTACCTTTGTTAGATTTTTAGCTGGGTTCATCAATCCAAGAATTGTTCCTTGAAAAGTTCTAGTCGGAGCCTGTCCTTCACCAAAGAAACATTCTTTATCTTATATTAAAACAAAATAAAAATATTAAAATATAGATATATTATGAAATTGAAGAACTTTAAATTAATTCTTTATACTAGAGAAAAAATTAATAAAATTCTTGATATCTAGATGAAAATGTCAATACGACATCATCATGAATTAAAGTAAAAAATAATATATTTATAAAAACTAAAATAAAAAGGTATCTTATTTTTCAGGACAAAAAATAAAAATCTCATCTTTGTGTTTTTATTTATGAAGTGGATATGTAATTATTTAAAAGAGTTGTATATTATAATTACCATCGACAACTAGTTGACTTTATAAAATGATAGGAGAGTAATAAGTTTGGGCAATGATACTTTGACCACCATTAAAAAAAACCTCATTATATTAATATAATAACGATGAAAAAGATTTAATAAAAATGAAAAAAGTTAAAATTATTATTATAATATAAAATGCAGGGTTGTTTGTGTGAGTAGCGGTGTGAAAATATATTTTTCCATAAGTTTGAGGTTGAAGAAAGAAGTTATAAAATTTTATAATACAAAGACGTTGTTTGCGAAGTTCAATTTAAACTTATTTATATTACAAATATACATAGAAAATGTAATATAAAAAAATCGTTTAACTATTTCTTTTATTAATATAATAATAATAATAATATAATGATAAAAAAATAATAATTATATTCATATTTTTTATTTTTACTTCTTTCATTTATAAATTATTTATCATTTATTTATTAAGATGGGTCATCAAATATTATTTCTATTTTTTTAACAACTTCACATGTTTTATAAGTTTTTTAAAGTTTATCCATTAACGTAATACTTGACAATTAAAAAAAATATCATAAAGATTAATAATTACAAGCTATTTTTGAAGTACAAGAAAAATTATATTAAAATTATATTGACAAAATAAAATTTCTCATTTATAATGTGTATATTAAAATTGAGTAATTAAAATCATGAAAACCAAATTTCTCATTTAGATGTGTGATTCAGACTTGAACAACTAAATTGCAAAAATAAATTATCCAACGAACATTTAGATGCAGCGACGTCGTTTAAGTGATTTTTTAGGTCAGCAGTAACCAATACCGTAATTGAGAAGAAGCATGCCCAATCATGTATTTCCGTTCGATCTGGAACGAACGAAGGAGAGAGAAAAAGAAAGATGAGAAGGGAAGACACGTGCGATCGTGTGGAGAGGGCGCTGCGAGAGTGCCACCGTCGAGTTCCGGCAGGTCCGAGTCGCGACTCAGCGTGTCGCCACCTTAACCAGGCGCTGGCCATGTGCCTTGTTTCGTCGGCGTGTCCCGAAGAATCGGAGGCGGTGCGCACCCTTTGCTCCACCGCGGGCACCGCTCTGAAGCGCGAGCAATGTCAACAGGCTCAACTTTCTCTCTCCCTCTGCCTCTCTTTTCACCAACAATAGATTATACCCAAACCATTCCCTAACCTAATTTTTACTATTCAGTTCTGTGTAATTTTTACTCAAGATAAACATTCATTCTTATTCCTTTTTCTTTTAGGAATTTGTGGCAATTGCTTATTACTCATAGTTATTTCCATTTGATCTGTATCCGACGGTGACTTTATCGTGGAAGAAGAAACAATTGTTAGTCGCTGATACTTATTTGAATTAAAATTGTGCAATGGAGTTAATTTTGAGAAAATCAATTTAACAATTTTAAAGATTGAACTTTTAGGTTTACCCAAGTAGCTCGCTGATCACCTTGCGCAACATGTGCAGTAGAGTTGAATCCTTAAAAGCAGACTCATAATTTTTCTGGTTCAAATAAAATTGGGAAAGGAATCTAGGCCATATAAAAAAGATGCAACTAGTTAAATATTGTTACTGAATTAATTAATTTAATATTTATTTTAAATTTAATTATTTTCACTGTCCTTTCTATCCTAATTTCTCCCTTACTCACCATATTATAAATTTTTTACATTAGTCTTGAATAAACCTTTTATTATTTATTTTCAATAAAAACATTATTAATATGGAATTACTAACTAATTAAATTGTGTATTCAAACTAATATTTTTATTTTACCATCAGATAACTGTTATTTTAGTTTGTGCAATGAACTTGATAATGTTTATTTTATATATTTAAAATCTATAATAAATAAATAATATTTTTTTATGATAAATAATTTATATTATGAAAGAAATTTATTTTTAACTATTGATGTTTTTTAAAAAAAAAAATTAAAATTTAATTTAAAAATCAAGATAAAGTGATATATTAACAAACTTAAGAGGTTAACTATCTTAATAGCTCCTAAAAATACTCCTATTTAAAATTGCTATTGACAGGATTTTCATTAAAATTGAGTAACTGCTTCTGATTGTAAGTTTTTTAATTTTTTTCCCTTGGATATTCTTATGACTTTTTTGTGTTCTTCGGGATTAGTTTTTCCTCTACAGAGAGAAAGAACATGTGATGCTGAACTAAAATGGCGACCACAACTACATATTTCGGCCATTAAATTAGACAAGCTTCGATCAACCAACTTATAATTAAATTTTTTTCTGTATAGTCAAACATTTATTAAAAGTTTAAAGCAATCTGTTACAATGTAGGGGAATGGACACTCATCTATGAGTTTAATATTTATTACCTTAAATGGGCAGGTACACTGCAGCCTATGTTCTCTGATGTGTACAATAATAGCAACCATGAGCAGTCATTGATGGCTATGAACACAATAGAGAACAATAGCATTAGGATGGTGAAACAAAAGAACATGAATCTTTATTGTGTTACTGTAATTTGATCTTGTTTTTAAGAGGCTAGAGCCATTAGGATGTTTGTATTTACTCTCTAGTTAAATTGAGATCCTTGTGGCTACACAAAGTGGGTGCATAAGTTGCAGCCAATAAATTCTCAACTGAATTAGAGACTCAGAAAAATCCAACCCCCTCATTTATGTTTGGCATACTTAAAATAGCGGTGAGTCGGTGGCCAAATGTTCAAGCCATTCTGAGAAATATTGAAATTTGTGGCATCTGTTAGAGGTTGGATTGGAATGGCCTTAATCTCTACAAATGTTCAGGTATTAGTACTCACAAAGAAAACTTAATTCCATATATTTGCAAAATAATACTGGACTATTTTACTAATTAGCCTACTCCATGTATGTAATTTCATAATTTCAATTGCTGCATAGATTTAGGAGGAGCATTAAGGTCATATCATAGGTTGTGTTTTCTGAGTAGATGTTTACTTTGGTAGGAAACAAAAGACTTTCATTGGAATTAATAAGGCAAGCAAAGGGACGGTCCATTTACAGTAGTGGGACAGGCACCTTCATAGTTTGTTGAAATATTGTCAAATGTAGCATTAAATGCTTACTTATCCTCTTCATCTATAAATACACACATATCTGATATCTCACATCACTGCATTTCCAAGTGCTCCATAGAATTTAAGTTTCTACAACATCTTGTAGTTCAAATCAAACTTGTAGGCGGCATGGGGGCGCTCACTTTCACAGAAGAGTTTACTAGCAGTGTCCAGCCAGGAAGGTTGTTCAAGGCTTTGATCCTTGAAGCTCCAAACCTCATCCCCAAGCTGATGCCTGAGGCCATTAAGAATGTTCAACTGGTTGAAGGGAATGGAGGCCCTGGAAGCATTCAGGAGATTACCATTGCTGAAGGCCAGTTGCACCATTTCACTCTAATTTTCACTTTATCATCATTTTTTGCTGTTATTTGTGACAGAGAATTGGAATCCAAGGGGCAGTTGAGAAATGGGCGCATGAGAGCCCAACATCCCCCCAACCAGATTGCAAACCATGACCTTTAAAGTCAAGGAATGTGCTGCACGGAGAAATTGTATGAACTGAGTCTACTATGATTCCGAACAATCTCCACATGACACATTATTGAGTCTTACTAACTCGTACAAATTGAAAAACTTGGTTATATGTCATGTGAAGATTAAAAATCATAGATAGTTCAATATCATATAATTATTTCTCTGACATGTCCTTAAGATTTCGATTTCTCTCTCTCTCTCTCTCTCTCTCTCTCTCTCTCTCTCTATATCTATATATATATATATATATATATATATATATATATATATATATATATATATACTAACATAATCCCATATATCTCTCGGTAGGTTTCAAACTGAAATGACTAACGAAGAGATCGTTATTGTAATGTCTTCAATGCAGGTGATAAGATCAAACGCTTGAAGCATAGAATTGATGCAATAGACCCAGAGAAATTCACTTACAGCTACTCAGTGATTGAGGGGGATGCTGCACTGGAAAAAGTGGATTTAATTTCACATGAGATTAGGTTCGAGGCCACTGAAGAGGGAGGCTGCAAGACCAAGAATGTCAGCACTTATCAGCTCAAAGCAGGGGTTGATGTGAAAGAGGAGGATTTCAAGGCTGCAAGGGAGGAAGGTTTGGCTCTCCTCAAGGTAGTGGATGCCTATCTTTTGGCAAACCCAGAGGCCTATGCTTGAAGCCTTGAAGTGATCTTATTTTACAGTATGATATGATGTGCTCAGAATTCAGCCTATAATCTACTTTGAAGACTAATATGATTTGGCTTATAATAAAATTTATGTGTTACTTTTATAGGGCTTGATAGCCAGATATGATAATACATTTATACTATCTACACAGTTACTAGTTAAAAGGTGGGATAATCAAACACATTGGTTAACTGGGACACTTCTTTTTCATTGGAAAACTGGGACTCTTTACTAACACAATGATTCTGCCACCAACATGCGTGAGCGATATGTATGTAAAATCATGGACAGAACATGAATCAATGCTGAAGGCTCCACAGACAAGAAGTCTTACTAAGTAATCAAACTTTGAATGTTCCACAAGCATTGAAAACGATTTGTTGTGGTCTTTCAAGATAAACATATCTTGAGAAAGCCTCAATCATCATTCACCCTAGTAGTTTGATGAACTTGGACCATTACCTTTGTCTCGCATATTTTTAGAATCTAAAACGCAAATGATCTGGGTACCGTGATTGTTCATTTTGGAATTTAAAAAGCAATGTCTTAATTAGACCTGTTAGAAGTGTCCAAATGCATAGGATCTCTGAATCCTGTAACCTCATGCTTCCACAATGCTGCTTGGTTAGGCAAAAATCATTTAATATAAAGACCAATGAAGGATTTTGTGATATCATTCATATGCCACGGATTTAGGTCAATCACTAATTCAGGTCGATTCTTAGATAATATTTAGTGAAGATTCTTAGATGAGTTTTAGTAAAATTTCGAGACAGTTAAGATCAGTATTACTAAGGTGAAAAATACGGATCTACATATTTAATTTATCTTATCATTTTATTATTCCCATTATGCATGGATAATGATTATTACTAACTTTAAAATTAAGAAACTGACATGAGATTAAAAAAATTAGGTTTATAGTTTTACTTTCTTAGGTATTTTTGATGGGATTAAGCATGAAAATTCTTATAAATAGGTCATAAGTTATAAAAGAATATGACACCACCTTCAATCCAAAACCTTAAGATATTAGGTTATGCATTTTTCTCACTTATAAGTTACTCAACTTTCTCATTTCTATCAAATGTGGGACTTTAAACTCATATTTGAATTCTCAATATCTCTCTCAAGTGTGATTTTCTTTCACATTGGTATACCTCTCCCTCAAGCAGAAACATTTCTTAGCCATGAGTATCTAGTGATGATCTTACTTGTACTGCCGTTCAACTTAACAGGACTTGCTTGCTTGAAACCCTTGTCAAGAAGACTTTTGACATAAGGACCTTTCACCTACTATAATCATACTCAACTAAGGCAGTTACCGAATAAACCATAGGCTCTGATACCACTGTTAGGTATCAGACAAAAATATAAACACATACAACTAAAATAAAAAGATGAGAAAAATACAGACAATAGACAAAAGAGTAATTCCACTAATGAAAGAAATTACAACCCTTGTCTCTCTATATCTAAGGAGGAAAGAATAATATCCTCTCTTGAAAACAAAAGAAAAATAACTCTAAGAGAACCTAAAAGGAAAAACTATTTTTTTACTTAATTTATCTCTCTCAAGTACTAAAGTAACAAGAGAAAGTGATTTTGGTGTGTTTTACAAGATAAACACTGTGCTTCTTTTATAGTAAGAAAAATAAGCACTAAAGTAAGATTTGTATGATGTGGGACTTATCTTCTCACAATATGAATAACCAACTTACTGCCCCTCCTGCAATTGTAAACACATAACCAGTAATAGATCTCTTTTTATTCATATCACCTGCAAAATCTGAATCAACATAGCCTCTGACAACTAGTTCTGATCCTCCATAACATAATGCAACACCTGAGATTCCTTTGATGTATCTAAGGATTCTCTTTATAGCACTCCAATGCTCTCCACCAGGGTTTCTCATAAATCTACTAACTACTCCCACTGCTTGTGCAATGTCTGGTCTTATACAAATCATGACACACATAAGACTCACTACTGATGCATATGATACTTGAGACATTTTCATCATTTCCGCTTCATTGTTGGGACTCATACTTGAGGATAACTTACAATTGATAGAAAGTGAGATGGAAATTAGCTTGCAATCTTGAATGTTGAAGCACCACAAGATTTTCAATAAGTAATTCTTCTGAGAAAGTCAAACCTTCCTATCTTTTCTATTTTTATGAATTTGCATCCCTAAAATCTTGTTTGTTGGTCTCAAGTCTTTCATGTCAAACTCTCTAGTCAATTGTGCCTTTAACTCTTGGATTTGATCTATGTTGGGGCCTACAACCAACATGTCATCCATATACAACAACAAGATAACAAAATCATTATCACTAAACATATTGTAATATGTACAATGGTCTAAACTCAATCTATTGTAACCAAGACAAATAATAAAGGAATCAAATCTCTTATACCAACATCTGGGCACCTGTTTTAAACCGTATAGAGATTTGGTCAACCTGTAAACCAAGTTTTCTTATTCTTTAAAACCTTCTGGTTGGAGCATATAAATTTCCTCTTCAAGATCTCCATGAAGGAAAACAGTCTTTACATCCAATTTTTCAAGATGTAAATCAAATGCAACATACATAGCCAAGACAACTCTGATGGACATCAACCGACAAGAATATCTCATTGAAATCAATACCTTTTTTCTGAGCATATCCTTTTACCACTAATCTAGCACAATATCTTTCTACTTGATCATTTCCATCTCTCTTGATCTTATAGACTCATTTGCAACCAATGGCTTTTCGACCATTTAGAAGTTCCACAAGATTTCATGTCTTGTTTTTACGAAGAGCTAATTTTTTTCCTGCAGTGCAGTCATCCACAGAGAAGCATCTGAACAACTCATAGCCTCTTGAAAAGTTGAAGGTTCTCCTTCTTCATTTAGAAGACAATACACATCATGATTGGTCATCTTATATTGTGAATGCCAAGATGGTCTGACTTTTTCTCGTATTGATCATCGGAGATCTCCATGCTCCTCTTCTGACTTAGACGAGTCATTCAAATATTTCTTCTCTATCTGTATTATAACATTGTCCTTTATCAAGCTGTCATTTGTCTGTTCACTTTGCAGTTCATTTTCTACAAATACTACATCTCTGTTAACAACAACCTTGTGGGAAGTGGGATCTCACAGGCGACACCCCTTCACATTGTCATCATAGCCCAAGAAGATACATTTCTTGGATTTTGGATCCAATTTTGTTCTTTCTTGAGTGTTATACATCACGTACACAGGACAACAAAAAACATGTAAGGATGAATAATTAATTGATTTACCTTTCCATATCTCCATTGGTGTGCTCAAACTAATGATGGTTGATGGTGATCAATTTATAACATAATAGACAGTTTTAACCGCTTCTGCCCAAAAAAACTTGGCTACTCTAACTGTTGGCAACATAGCTCTAGTTCTTTCCAAGATGGTTCTATTCATCCGCTCTACTATACCATTCTGCTGAGGCGTATGTAGGACAAAAAGTTATCAAATGATACCCTCTTGCTTGCAAAATGCTAAAAATTCCTCATCTACATATTCTCCTCCGTTATCTGTCCTTAAGCACTTAATTCTTTTCCCAGTTTCAAGTTCTACTTGTGTTTTGAATTCCTTGAACTGTGAAAACACATCTGACTTCTTCTTGATAGGGTACACCTACAATCTCCTAGAATAATTATCGCTAAATGATACAAAATATTTTGTTCTTCCAAGGGATACTACCGACGATTCCCACACATAAGAATGATTAAAGTCCGATATGTGTTCACTTTTAGCAGTCACTCTAGCAAACTTCAATCTATGTTGCTTGCTTATCACACAGTACTCGCAGAAGGGTAAACTAACTTCTTTAAGCCCCGATAAAAGATTACGTTCTGCAAGGATTTTCAGACCACTTTCTGACATATGACCAAGTCTATGATGCCACATGATCACTGCATCTTCCTGACTTGTTGTTGCAACTAATACATCCGCTTCTTGCAACGTATCTCCAAACAACACATACAAATTTTTCATGATCTTCTTTACCTTCATGACCACCAAACTCCCCTTCACTACCTTTAATATTCCACCTTCAACATGGATCTTACACCCGAGGTCATCTAATTGTCCAATGGACCATAGATTCTTCTTCAAGTCCATCACATATTGTATCTCTTAAATTGTACAAATAGTACCATTATACATTTTAATTTTGACGGTACCAACTCCAGTAATCTCCAAAGCATGGTTGTTTCCCATGAAGATGAATCCACCTGAGAATAGTTCATAAGTGTGAAACTAATCTTGGTGCGGAGTCATGTGTCATGTTGCACCTGAATCCATTATCCACTTTTCATGAAACTCCTTTTCACCATTAGAGCTAATTATTGCCTCGCTCACTAGAATATCTCCATCTTCCGAGGTACTTACAATAGAACCTTGTGAGGTTGACTCTTCAGAGTTGTTTCCTCCATTCTTCCTCTTCCAACACTCTTTCCTCATATGTCTTTTCTTGCCATAAAAGTAGCATTTGATTTTAAAAATTTTATTACTTTGAGACCTTGATCTATCATTACTCGAGCCATGTTCCGCTGATCTTTCTCTTATCATTGTCAAAGTCTCAGCTTGTTTGGAACTTTCGCCCTTACTCATCTGCCTGGATTCTTTTTCAAGAATAGTTCTGGCAACATCCTCAAAGTTCATATTCATACCAATATTATTATTTGTAATATTGATGATGAGTTGATCATACGAATCAGGTAAACTTTGAAGTAGAAGCTCTGCACGTTCATTTTCAACTATGTTGAAATTTGTCGCTGATAGTTGGGCAACCAAGGTATTCAAATGGTTGATGTAGTCCGTCACTGATGTGGACTTACTCATCCGAAGAGTATAAAGTTTTCTCTTGAAAAATATTCTTGTGTGAAGTGACTTCACTTCATATAATTTAATAAGGGTATCCCAAATCTTCTTCGCAACACTGGATATAACTGAATTTTCCATTGATAAGTGTATATTCGCAATAACATTATCGTTCATTTCTTTCCATCGTTGTTTTCACAATGAGAAATTACTCTCATTGAATTTCTCTATCTCATATTTTGTTGTCATGGTTCCAAACCGATGCAATCCTCACTATGAATAATATTGTCTACTGGAACAACAACGACATATCATAAATCAATACACTAGGTAAATTCCCAGGAAAGAGAGGTGCATCACTAATGGACACACTTAAATACCAAGTATTTCCTTGTCAGAACTTTCTTAGATATGAACTGTAGGTATTTTCGAGAGGACTAACAACAAGAAAATTCTGACAAATGGGTCATGAGTCAACCATATAAGAGAATATGACACCACCTTCAACCCAAAATCTTAAGGCGTGGTTATAAGTCTTTCTCACTTATAAATTACTTAACTTTTCCATTTTTACCCAATATAGGACTTCAATCTCATACTTGAATTTCGAACACTTTCTTGGTGTTCAATTGATACTATGTTCCATTGTATTCATGAGTTTCAAATCTTATATTTTTTTTCTTAATATAAATAATATTAAAAAAACATAATTAAAAATATCCTAATAACTAATTTAAAAAAAAATAAGAAAATATATATTTCCCTTTATAGATAACTATACCAAAACATTGATTCATGCCAAGTTGACCAAGCACTTATATTTCCTTGGAAGCCGTGTTCTAATATCACTTTCTAGCATGGGTGTTTACATTACACGGATGAAGATAGTAGTCCTCTCCAACCTCTCCATCAAGGTTATTCAAGGCCTTGATATTAGAATCTCACAACCTCATTCCAAAACTTCTGCCACATGCTGTGAAGAGTATTGAACTCTTACACAGGGTGATGGTGGGCCCGGAAGCATCAATCAGATTAACTTCACTAAAGGTATGTAACTTTCTAGCTGCACTTTTTGTTTTTTGTAAAATTGAGTCAGAAAGTAAGTAACAGTAATTATCGACTAGTTGATATGTATCCATGATTTGGTATACATTGACATGAGATTTGTTACTTTATATTCTAGAATGAGTGCTTGGATTAAAATTGACAAACTTAATTTTGAATTAGTTTGAATTTTACGAATTGAGTTTTGCAAAAGGAGCCTTGGTCTTGCTTTTATACAAACTTGGTTCCAGGTAAAACCTAAGTGTGCGAAGGTTATTCTCCACACACAAAAGTTTGAATCATTCTAAAAGGGAATACAAGCATATTTTGAGTTTTTCAGTTTAGAAGAGTTGGATTCGAATTTAGCTCCTCTACAATGAACATGAAGAAAGTAATATCAATAAACACGACCTTCCTTTTTCTTTCAGGCAGCGAGGTGAAAAGTGTAAACGAGGACACATTTACTTACAATTACACATTGATTGAAGGTGAAGCATTGAAGGATGAGTTTGCAACCATTACTTATGGGTCCCACAATAGAGAAAGTAAATACCTTTTGCAACAAATGTAAAAAAAAATGCATTTTTTTACCTCAATGCAAATCGATTGCTCAAAAATGGTGAATGACATCTTGTGATTCAAACGATCCTTGAGGTAGGTAATGCACTATTTTCACTTGTATGAATTCAAGTCCATAAGGTTAGCAAAATGGTCTGATTCTGCCAATAGCCGCCCATGTGCATTGTACAAGTTTGATGCAATTATTGGGGAATATGAAATACAAAACTTATTAATCACCCACTCATTGAAAGTCTTCAAATAAAAAAACCCCATTCTTAACTGCCAAATAAATGCCCATTTTCTATAAGCTGCATCAGGAAACATTTTCCTTTCCATCCAAGTGATAATTCTTTCATAAAGAAACCTACTCCCATAACCACAAGACATCTAAGTGCTATCCCTAGGGATTCAACTTTCACAACCTTGAATATTCCGTGATCTTTGCAACCTACACAATATTCACCATGGGAGGCACAACTTTTACATATGATTATTCTTCCCCTGTTGCTGCATCACGCATGTTCAAAGCCTTGATCACTGACTCTAGAACTTTGCTTCCAAAGCTCTTACCACAGTTCATAAAAGAGGTCAACGTGATCCAAGGAGATGAGGAAGCTGGAACCATTGAACAAGTTAACTTTGCTGAAGGTTAGCAAAAACACATTGACAAATTAATGTGAAATTAATGGATTACAAAGTTATATATACCTATTTGTATGAACATATCTCTGTTTTTAGTGGCTGAAAATTTTCTTCTGTTTACTTTTTGTGCAGCTAGCCCCTTCAAATACGTAAAACACAGGATTGATGAGGTTGATAAAGACAAATTAGTGTGCAGATACACCATGATTGAAGGGGGTCCATTGGGGGACAAGCTTGAGTCTATAGTTTATGAGGTTAAATTCGAGGCCACAAGTGATGGGGGTTGCCTTTGTAAGATGACAAGCACATACAATGTCATAGGGGATTTTAAAGTCAAAGAAGAAGAGATAAAGGAAGGAAAGGAAAGCTCTCTTGGAGTCTGCAAAGTTGTGGAAGCCTACCTGCTTGAGAATCCACAAGTCTATGCTTAAATTTTCATTTGTTTATGTCGATGTTATTCAATTTTTGAATGATATAGAATGATACAGTACGCAACCAAATATAGGGAGGTATTGAATTCCTTAATAAGTCCTTAGTCTTCAAGGGCATGCTTTGCGGTTTGGCAATATATTTGTACTTTTTGTGATACCAGAGTTGGAGATTCACTATCCTCTTTAATCTTTATGAATTGATAGAGCATTGTATTTCGATGGTAATTGTTCTGCCAAATCATTGTGCAACTAATAACGTTTGTGCTTTGAACATCTTAGACATACTAATAACATTTGTACTTTGGTACCAAAAATTAATGTTGAATGATGTATAATAAAACTCAAAACAACAAAGCAAGTCACAGTGGGGTATGAAGTGTATATAAAACAATCTATTTATGAAATCATCATGCCGATCTTTCTATAATAAAAGGATACCTGAGGAGTGGATTCTACAAGGAAAAAGCTACTTCGGTCTTTTTTGACTCTGAAAGTTCGTATTTCCAATTCTACCATCTTAATCTCAACGTTACATATACATTGTCAAGAGACCATCCATCATAAAGCAAATTCCCTTTGGCTCATCTTTACAAATACTCATAAGGATGCCCCCTCCCACCCTTTTCCACATCTAAAGTTCTAATGGTCAGTTTAAGCTTTAGATAATGACTTTCATGGACCAATCAAGCAAATACCTATCGTTCTCTTTCATGGACCATACATATTCTCTGCACATATACAAATATATGCCAATCACATATTCTTCACAGCCATAATCATCAGACAAACACATCCATTGGTCTTCTTTCTAATTCAGCCCTATGGTTCCAGAGTTCCAGGTACGGTAAAATCCATGCATATTTACAACTTAACATGTTATTGCAATTATGGCATGGCTATTACCGATTTAGATAAACTGCTAAAATTCTTTTAGAGAGATCTTGATCAACACTTAGAATTTAGAAACCTCGAGTCACAGAGATACAAGTCCGAATGAACTGTAATGGATGCGTGCAGAAGATTAAGCAAGCAATCAGTGGCATAAATGGTAAGTATGCGCATAATTTGATTAGTTTCCCCACTAATTGATGGTCTTTAAGACGCATGAACCAATACTTTTCAAATAACTCTGACAAACTGTTACCTCTTGCAGGTATATATGATTTCTACATTGACTTCCCTCAACAAAAAATAACAATAATTGGGTGGGCAGATCCTGAGAAAATTGTCAAAGCAATTAAGAAGACAAGGAAGATGGTCACCATTTGCAATATTGAACCAATTGAGTCTCCGTCTCAACCAGAAGAACCATCATCTCAACCAACAGAACCAGAACCTAAAGAAAATGCTGCACAAGCCCTTAAAGCAACCCAACCAGAAGAAATTCCACCAACTCGAGCATCACCCCGAGAGGAACCTCTAAAGGACACACCACCTCTTGAACAACCACCTGAAGCAACACCATCACAAACACATGCAGAGAATAATCTAAACCAGCAATCACCAAGAACCAAAGATGTAGGAGAGGTTCATGCGATACACCACAATCCAAGTACCTTCGGAAACAGATTTGGTTCTGGCCACAGCTACGTTGGACATTGCGGTGACAGATACCATAATAGCCCAACATTTCACCAAGAGCCACCCCAACCAGTTTACGTGGCACACAGTTATAATTCATATAGGCCATCACCTTATGTCCCTGAATGAGTGTGTGAGGTCACCACCAAGGCTCACACTTTACAATCGTGTGGAATGCTGCAATGGAGACTACCAAAGTGGCAATGGAAACATCACATCCATATTCAGCGATGAAAATCCAAATGCATGTAGGATAGTCTAGAAGAACATCAGGAGCTACTTTTGAAATTACGTTGACGGACAATTCTCCTTTCATATGTACTAATAAGCTAGTACGTGACAGATTAGTAAAATTATAGAATCTAAAACTAGAAAATGGAAAAGTATAAGCAAGAATCAGATTATTTTCTAGTGGGTGCCAGACTGATCAGCTTCCAAACAAACTTCATCGTGAACTGTGGAAGCAAATTGCTTTAACAGACGTGATTCTCGTCTGAACATAAATCTTAATGTACAACCATACGTGCACTTCGTGTATGTAATATAAGGTAAAAGCTACAGAACATACACTTCAAATTCAAGGAAATAGTAAGCAGAGTAATCCTATGGTTTCCTTCTTTGAAATTGTAGCTTTTAAAGAAAATATGAATGTATTATCTAAATACAAAATTTACATATATTTGAAGTGTTGTATTGCATGTTAAAATAAAATAGACTAATGAATTTTTAAATTATAACAAAACTTGTAGAATTAATCTATCTCGTAAAAACTGTCAAAATAACAGTAAAATAGATAACTTTTTTTTTAAGAAGTTAAAAAGTTGTCACTCGTATGTGAGTGAAGTTTCTATTAAGTAGCAAACAAAAATTTGAAAATAAATTTAAATAGTGTAAAGCATGGAAAATTGATTTATATTTACAAATTGTCATGGACTAATAGGTCAAAACCCAATTCAAGAATGTTGATCCTCCTCATTCCAAAATGGGCTTTGGTTCTTGCTGTTCCCACCTAGATTTTCTTCTCTTACCATCAATTTTTTTTTTTTTTTAAATAGAGTGAAAAAAATACTCTAATTTAATAAGTTAGGTCTAATTTCGAATAAATAGTTAACACATTGATAATTGATTTTGTTAAACATCAATTAGGTTCTCATTTGATTTTATATTAATAGAGTATCTAGTAAGATTGAAAATTTAAGAAATTAATTTTACCTAATAAAAGAAAAGGATAATTTCTTTCAAATATATATAAGCACTTTGTGGATCTTTTTTTAATCCTTCTTACTATATCAACGTCACACAAATTCTCGTAACCTTTCTTATATACAATAAAAAATATGTACTTATAAAATTAAAAAAGTAAATAAAAAATGTTAAGAAAAAGAATACAACCTTATAATCTTAATTAATAGCAAATAAAGTGAGTAAATAAATAATAATATTAAATATTAATATATTTACTCCAAGTGTATAAGATTAAAAAATTGATAATTAACATATATTCAGTAAAAACATATATCTACTCTTAATATCGTGCGATGAGCCTTTAAACATTTTCATCTAAAGATTATTGGACATTGCTCTATGGTAAGATAAATACATGAATGTACATATACATAACAGAGAGTAAGGGTAAATACGTATTTTTATTCAATAGTGAGGTAACGTGCATTCCAAAAGTATGATATACGTATTTTTTTATGCCAGGTGGCAAAATATAAAGTCATCCATTTCATTATTTGATGACATGACACTTTGTTGAGTATCACATTTGAATATAATCTTGTCATTGTCATCAAATTTCATTACAAATTAAACTCTCAAAACCACTACTGAACTTATCCAATTGAATCAAGACAGATCGATTTGTTGATCAACAACTTAAAGCATAAACATCTTCATATATTTTGTATGACTCGGTTTAAATAGTGATTAAAGATTGCAGGCATGACATCACCACTAAGACTTGGATAACGATAACAAAAAGTTGAACTTTCTTTTAATTGACGTATCACCAAATCCACTACATGCTTTACAGTGAAATCGCAATGGAACTAATGCAATACTATCAAACTTTGAGTCCTCCTGTGACGGCACTACCAAAATTTCCTTACACATGAATGAAGAAATGAAACTGTACAAATAATGTGCTGGTAGGAACATGCAAGAATGCAAATCTAAGGGATGAAAAAATGAATAATTCTCACAACAGTCTCATTGGAAAGAATGTGGCGTAATCTTTGATGGCAGATGGCCATTCACTTTTTCATCAACGTCGAGCATCAGGGTACATACGAATAAGAATCTTCTGTTGAAAAAGGATCATCACTGCACTGAAGTTTTTCCACTGATACTCCGAAGGTAGAAACAGGACGAGGAAGAATCATATGAGGGGTTTCCTAGTTCGGGACAAGGTTCTGGGAGCACTGAATGTGAAAATCCAGACACATTCGAGCATTCCCAAGTAACGGGAGAAACAGAATTTGTAGACAAGGTTATGTTGGTAAGGCATATGTTTGTGAAAGGGGATTCCTCTATTCCAGCGAAGTTTCCAGCAATGGTAATATTTGTACCTGTGAGATCCCTCAACGTAATGTGGTCCAAAACTGGGAGTGCATTTGGATCAAACTTGTCATCAGGATGAGACCCACAATTACCAGTGGCAGCAATTGCTGTGTGGACATTTTCCATTTGTATGTCTGATATAACAATATCTTTCATATAACCACCTCTTCCTTTGGTGGTTCTAAACTCAATGCCACTGTTTGAGTTAAAAAGATGAGCATGCTCCACTAGAACATTTGAAATGCCACCGGACATGTCACTGCCAAATGCAAGAGCAGAGCCAGAAAATGCATGAAGATGCACCCTTCTAATGTGTACATTCTCAGTGGGCCTGCCGTAAGCAATGCCATACTCATCCCAGCCACTTTTAAGAGAGATTGCATCAAACCCCATTGCAACAATACAATCTTCTATACACACATAATCAGAAGAATCTGAAAACACGAAGCGCACAAAGGTTACCAAAGTGACCCTAACCAAAGTTTGGTAAGCTAATGATATTTTAGAAGCAATGTCATTTTCACAATAAGGACCAAAAGAAAAGAGGATAATAATGATGGTATGTTTGTTACAAACCTGGCACTATACCAACAGTATAAGGGGACTCCGGAGGAGTAGAGATTGAAACATTTTGAATATGTACATGGCTGCATCAAATTACATACAACTAAATCAACATGACCTTGCTTTTTTCTTTAAAAAATGAAATATCACATATCTAGTGTCCAGTAGAAGCACAGAACATATATACCTGCAATAAACTGGGTGTATGCTATAAGCTGGGGCGTTCAAGAATGTAAGATTTGAAACCACCACATAATCAGATGCCACAATTTCAACCAGATGAGGCCGGCTGTGGTTCAAGGAATGGGAGCTATACCACTCCCACCAAACCATTCCCATGCCATCAATGGTTCCATTATTACCTAAGGAATCACAAAAGACATGAAAATTCAATCAAGAAACAGACACATAAAATCTTGCTGGAAGAAACAGAATATTGGGAGATGAAAAAACCTGTTACGACCACATCATGTAACATGTATCCATTTATCAAGCTCTGATATCTTCCCCCAGGTACTTCAAGCCCTCGTCCATAAGAAGGCAAGGGTTCAATAACATCCCAATGAGACGGATCCTAAACAAGTAATAACAACATGTAAAAAACAAAATCCAAATAATAACACACACCCCGTATTAGAACATGAACCATAACAACACACAAAGGATCTGCAAAAAACGACAGGAGAAATATCAAAGGCTAGTGAAAAGAGAAGCAATACCTGAGTTCCAATAATGACAGCACCTTTTTCCAAAAAGAGGGTGAGATGGCTGGTAAGATTGAAGCTTCCAGTGAGCCATTTACCCGGAGGAACATAGAGCTGAGCGCCACCCTTATCGGCAAATGACTTGAGATAGAAGATGGCATTCTGGAATGCAATGGTGTTGAGTGTTTTACCATCTCCAACTGCACCAAACTCCAAAATGGAGACACTGTGTGGTCTTGGGTCTAGTGTTGGGTTGGAACCACATTGCCCACCATTTGCACTAACTCTAACGGCATTGCTCAATGCCACCAGCAAGAGCAATGCCACCTGAAAGAGGGTAGAAAAAGAAAAATGCAACCCATAGATTCTCAGAAGATATCCTACAAATACAATAATTAACAACAGGATTATACCCCAGATTAAGACGCAAGGACCACGCAGAAAGCCAAATCCAATCACAATTCAATTGGAATATAAATAAACAAATAATCTCATCATTGACCAAACAATTCTGTTCAGACACACATCAGATGACTAGGAACTTGAAAGAGAATTCCAATCTGAAACGTGAATGCAAGTTTATTAGATCAAATGGAATGAAACTTGATCCAATTGAATCCCCCATCATTGACATCAATCACCATTGCCACATACCTAACCAAAAGAACAACAAAACAAGACCCAACACGCATACTTTGACTTAAACATTTAAAACCAATCCCAAGATTGGAATTTGAAAACGCCCTCTTACTTATCGATGAGTCCCAGATTTGAAACAAGGCGTAAAGTCAAAAGGCAAAGACAACAAACATAGCAAAAACAAAAACAAAATAATCAGAACAAAATGAATCACGAAAACGTACTTACGAGCATCTTCTTGAGTCAAAGCTGGCAACAGGGTCAGGGTCCAAGGGAGACAGGAACCGGCGCTAGTGCCAAAGCCGAAACAAGTAACCAAAAGAAAAAAAAAAAGAAAAAGAAAGAAAGAAATTGCAGCAGCAGAAGAAGAGAGAGAGAGTGAGAGAGAAGGAAAAAAGAGGAAGAAGAACCAGCCACGGGAACAGAAGCAGCTTTATGCAGTTTTGTGAGTATTATTATAAGCATTAATCTACGCACAGAAAAGGAGAAGATTGATAGTCCTTTCATAAATGGTCATGTATATACAAATATTTGGTAACATTTTATTTATTTTTGTGATAGCAAATTTCAATTTACACTATAATAATGACAGCTTTTGCTTTCCATGCAGCAATGAATTAATTATTATTTTAATTCAAAGATAGAAAATAAACAGAATAAGGGTGAGGAGAACAAAAAAAGTGAAACGGGAAAGAGAGAGAATAATAATAATAAGGTGCCGAAAATAATAAAAGCATAAAAAACAAGTAAATTAATTGCAATAATTGGCTATTGGCCCTGTTAATTAACATGATTATTAACGTCTCTCGCCGACAAAGTCGTTTGAAACGGCCCTGATAGATTGTGGCTGCAGTGCAGAGGGACAGTGGGTGGTGTTTTCACATGTCCGTATTTTTAGGCAAAGTAAATTGTTTGAAGTGTGTTTGTTTTACTCGGAGTGAGTGAGTAGAACACTGAACAAACTAAACAACGTTAATGATATTGTTGTTAACATTAATATTTGTGAGATGGGCAATGATAGGGTTAGAGGGGTTTGTGGTTTAGGATTGACACGTGTGATGAAACGGGAGGGTGTGGCGATGGTGGAGGGGCTCCTTGTGGGACACGTGGAGAGGGTAGGAGGGAGGGATGGGTGAGGGAATCAGAATAAGTTTGGGGTGCATGGGGCACAGAGATTAGAGGGCGCATGTGGATTGACAGAGCAGAAATGGGGGACGGTGGGGCCCTCATCAATCATGCCCAAGATGCTAGCCTGGCCTCACTCACACACCATTCACCGTTTCCATCTTATGTTTTCTATCAAACAAACCACACCCACTCATCCTAGAGTATTCTACAATCTTATTCAAAATTAGTACAACTTGGTGATGGCAAACAGAATGTGTTTTTTTATTTATTTTATGGATTTTTATTGCTAACAAATTGATAAGAAGTGAATCATTTTTTATTTAGTACTACATCAAATATTATGAATTAAGAAATTAATATATATACTTAATTATATTTTTAATGATTAATAGTATTTACTTGTATATCTAAAAATTTAAAACCAAATATTATATTAAAAATAAAAAGAATTTATTAGATCACATTTTCAAAACTCTCGTAAGGTTTATTAAATCCAACTTAGTTTATATATATATATATATATATATATATATATATATATATATATATATATATATATATATCATGTCATGTGATGTGCATTTTTCGAAAGTGGAAAACAAAAAATCTCCCAATATCTCTATCTTTACACCAATCATAAATTCATAACCATCTTCACGCTTGCTCCTTAGTCTACTCACGTCAATTCAACTTAATTACAAACATCTCAATCCTAACAAACGAATTCCTCTTTCTTAATATCAATTTTCCTACTTTTTTGCTGCTTCTATTTTTCATAGTAGCAAATGTAGTGTTGTTTTTTTACCACCTACGTAATCTCAACATCTAATTACCACTCTTTATTTTGTTTTTTATCCTTTTTCTTCTGTCATACTATATTATATCAATTATATCACCACTTATTCTGCTGCTGTCATTCTTTTCAACCATATATATCATTAATCAGGAAAATGGAGATATTATGACTATGATAAACATAGAATATACGATTACAAATACCGTATCATGCTATGATTCTACATGATTAATGTTTTCCATATTTAGCTTGGCATGACAGCGATGCACAGTGATGCACATTAATGTCATATCTGTTAATAGACAAATTTAGGATACCGACTATAATGGTTAGCGTAATTATAGCCTAGAATGTTTACGTATTTCATGTATATATTGTGCTTATCATATTCAATACAAGAGAAAGGTTTTTGGAAATATTTTTATCATGGTATCGAAGCGAACCAAACTCCGATATCCAATGTACTCGAGAACACAGTCGTACTTCTAAAATGGCAGAGAGAGGAGAGACGGTGAAGAAAACACCATCGCCATACGATCCGAGTGCCGGTGATAATCCTGGAAATGTGATTACACGGTACAATTACGAGGAGAGAATTACGAGGAATGGGCAAGGGCCGTGAAGATATTTCGCGGGCTCGAAGGAAATGGGGTTTCATAGATGGAACTCATAAGGAACCTGAAGAAGACACATCCGAGATAGAAGATTGGTGGACAATTCAATCGATGCTTGTATCTTGGATACTAAACACTATAGAACCTAGTTTGCGTTCCACTGTTGCATACATGGAAAACGCAAAGGACCTATGGGATGACATCAAGGAACGATTCTCGATCGTGAACGGACCAAGAATCCAGCAGCTAAAGTCAGAGTTGGCAGTGTTGGGAAAAATATGCGGAATCTTCCCATATGGTCAGATCTGTGAAAGTGAAATAAAAGCGGAATAATTGCACACACAAGTTGATAACGGAGTTCGGCCAATAATGCCTACGTCTCCGGACTACTACAGATCTCTTACTAGGAGAAAAGAAAAATACACAAGTGTTTACAAAACACTCCCAAAACACTCACAACTCACAACCCAATTACACCCAGAAGCTAAACTAAAACTCTCTAGTTTTCTGCCTCTCACTGGTGCCACTCTTTCTTCTCTAAGAGAAGTAGTATTTTGTGTGAGATGGGATGATTTTGCTTGAAGGAAGAAGACCAATTTATAGCAAAAATTGGTACTGTGCATTACAATAAAAAAATGCCTCGTGGGCACCTCATGCTTGAATAAAAAAATTTGCACCCACCCTTTTCTTCCATTCTTTCGGTGCAAGTGAGAAAGTTACCTACTTTCTTTGACCAACAATCTCCCACTTGAGGACCGATTTCAATCTGTCCTCACACATTGATCAATAGTAGTCTTCTCTTGTCCGTTATCCTTGTAAGCTAGCCGAAGTTGAGCATAACTTCGGTTTGTCAATAGTCACCACCTTTGTTAGCATATCTGTTGGGTTCTTACTTCCCACAATTTTCTTCAATGTTAGCATCTCATCCTCAAGTAGAGATCTGATGAAATGATAACGTATGTCGATGTGTTTGGTTCCGGAGTGAAATGCTTGAATTTTTTGCCGGATGTATTGCACTCGACTATCACTCGTGCAAAACACTCCTTTCTTGAATGAATCCCAACTCGCCAACAATCCTTGAAGCCATATCAATTCTTTATCGGCTTCAGTCACTGCTACATACTCAGCCTACGTAGTGGATAAAGCAACAATCTTACGTATCCGCGACATCCAACTAACAGTTGTAGTTCCAACGATAAACACATACCCAGTGGTGCTTCTTCGGTGATCAACTTCACCTCCAAAGTCCGCATCTACGTAGCCACCGCAATTTTAGATCTCCTTTTCTAAAATACGAGACATTTTTCTGTTGTGCCTCGTAGATACCTCGGAATCCATTTGATCGCTTCCCAATGAGCTTTTCCTGGATTTGACATGAATCCGCTTACAACTCCCACTGCATGGCCAATGTCTGGTCTCGTACAGACCATCGCGTACATCAAACTTCCAATGGCTGAAGCATACGGAATCTTAGCCATTAACTCTTCTTCTTCCTTCGTTTGAGGAGACTGATCCTTGGATAGACGAAAATGGCAAGCCAAAGGTGTATTGACTGGTTTGGCATTGTCCATGTTGAATCTCTGCAAAACACGGTTGATGTACTCCGCTTGAGATAACTGCAAAACTCCTTTTTGCTTATCTCTCGTGATTTGCATTCCAAGAATCTTCTTTGCTGGGCCTAAGTCCTTCATGTCAAATTCTTTTGACAACTGCTTCTTTAAGTTTATGATCTCATTCATATCTGAACCTGCTACTAGCATATCATCAACATAAAGTAGCAAAATGATATGAATGAGATCATAAACTTAAAGAAGCAGTTGTCAAAAGAATTTGACATGAAGGACTTAGAGGTTGCACAATTGTCCCGTGGCAGAGGCCGGGTGGGCCAAGTCACAATCCAAGAGTGGGATACCTTGTAGGACAATTGCTGAGGGGGAGATTGTTGCAGGTAGCATCAATTGTCCTGTGACGAAGGTCAGGTGGGCCGAGTCACAATTGAATCGTGGCGCTTGGGCTGTTAAAGTAAAAAGAGTTGCGCTCTGACTAATGGCTATAGCTTTTGGCCTAGTGGTAAGCGCTCGATCCTAACAATTGGTATCAGAGCCAAGGTCACGAGTTCGATTCCTGGTGGGCAATTGTTGAGGGGGAGATTGTTGCAGGTTGCACAATTGTCCCGTGGCAGAGGCCGGGTGGGCCAAGTCACAATCCAAGAGTGGGATACCTTGTAGGACAATTGCTGAGGGGGAGATTGTTGCAGGTAGCATCAATTGTCCTGTGACGGAGGTTAGGTGGGCCGAGTCAATTGTTGCGGGTTGCACAATTGTCCCGTGGCGAGGCCGGGTGGGCCAAGTCACAATCCAAGAGTGGGATACCTTGTAGGACAATTCGTTGAGGGGAGATTGTTGCGGGTAGCATCAATTGTCCTGTGACGAAGGTCGGGTGGGCCGAGTCACAATTGAATCGTGGCGCTTGAGGTCGTTAAAGTAAAAAGAGTTGCGCTCGACTAATGGCTATAGCTTTTGACCTAGTGGTAAGCGCTCGATCCTAACAATGGTATCGAGCCAAGGTCACGAGTTCGATTCCTGGTGGGCAATTGTTGAGGGGAGATTGTTGCGAGGTTGCACAATTGTCCCGTGGCGGAGGCCGGGTGGGCCAAGTCACAATCCAAGAGTGGGATACCTTGTAGGACAATTGCTGAGGGGAGATTGTTGCGGGTAGCATCAATTGTCCTGTGACGAAGGTCGGGTGGGCCGAGTCACAATTGAATCGTGGCGCTTGAGTCGTTAAAGTAAAAAGAGTTGCGCTCGACTAATGGCTATAGCTTTTGGCCTAGTGGTAAGCGCTCGATCCTAACAATTGGTATCGAGCCAAGGTCACGAGTTCGATTCCTGGTGGGCAATTGTTGAGGGGGAGATTGTTGCAGGTTGCACAATTGTCCCGTGGCAGAGGCCGGGTGGGCCAAGTCACAATCCAAGAGTGGGATACCTTGTAGGATAATTGCTGAGGGGGAGATTGTTGCAGGTAGCATCAATTGTCCTGTGACGAAGGTCAGGTGGGTCGAGTCACAATTGAATCGTGGCGCTTGGGCTGTTAAAGTAAAAAGAGTTGCGCTCTGACTAATGGCTATAGCTTTTGGCCTAGTGGTAAGCGCTCGATCCTAACAGGCAGAATGCAAACAACAAGGAATGACTATGGTTTCCTATTATGGGAAGTTGAAAACGTTGTGGGATGAACTGACAAATTACGAGCAAATCCCACAGTGTAGATGTGGGGGATGCAAGTGTAATATTATGACGCAACTTGAGAAACGAAGAGAAGAAGAAAAAATTCATCAGTTCTTGATGGGGCTAGATGATGAGGGCTATGGAACTGCACGGTCAAATGTTTTGGCAACAGATCCATTACCCTCGTTGAATCGGGTGTATGGCATCATGGTGCAAGAAGAAAGGGTGAGAACAATCACCGGGTCTAAAGAAGAGCGAGGAATGATCGTGGGAATGGCTATGCGAGCGGAAACCGGGAACAAGTTGCGCAATGAAGCGAAAGAAAAATCGGTTGTTTGCATGCGGTGTGGAAGGAAGGGACATGACAAAGGCAATTGCTTCAAGATCATTGGTTACCCGGAATGGTGGGGAGAGAGACCACGAACC